CAGGAGTATGAGGAGGAGAGGACTCATCTTGTGGACAGGAAGCAGAGAGAGTAAGGAAGAAACTTGGGAGCAGGTACAACTTTTAATGGCACATCACTAGAGACTTATGGCATTGAGGCCCCACCTAAAGTTTTCACACCCTCCCTAAATATTGTTACTAGCAGGTGAAAAAATGTTCACGGGGGGGGGGGGGAAGCATCTCAGATACAAACTACAGTGTGCATAGTGTGTCCTAGGAAGTCACAGGTTGCTTCCCCTTTTGTGCCTGACTTTATTGTAGTTTTATTCTTTTAATGGCAATAAAATGAAATTTCAACACACTGGGAAATAGGGAGAACAACAGGGCTTCACTTACTGTTTTTATTCACTATTACACACACAGTCCACTGATGTTGCAGCAGTTATGTCCAGTGTTTGTCCCTTCCTTAAGGTGATATGTCAGGGGTTTTGTCCTGATTGCTAACCTTCCCAGGGTTTTTGTAAGGAACTTCCAAACTGGTGACACTGTATCAGTTTTGCTAGGGGCTTACTATGGGAGGGGACTCTGCAGAGGACTAGGCTGCCACACAGGCAATGAGTACAAGTGTGCCCCACTTCTCTCCTGCAGTCTTTCTCTGCTAGGATGGAGATTGTGAGTAACCAATGAGGAACTCATTCACAGCTCCTAGAGTTTACTTATTATTAAAGCTATGAAGGTCAAGCCATATTGTTTGCTCTCCAACAAAAACCCCTTTCGCTGTGGGATGTATTTAGTTCCATGTAGCAAGATTAAGGATGTATAATGATTAAGACTGAGACTAATTGGGTTTGCATCTCTGGGCCTTAGTTTCTTTAGATATAAAGAGTAAGGACAACAAAGTTTTCAGTCTTACAGAACAGCTATTTTAAGTGTTTGTAAAGTGCCTGACACATATTGGATAGCCTACAGAATATAGCAGAAAGATCTTCATTGAAAAGATAGTATAGGTTTTTTGTTTTTGTTTTTATGGTCCTTCTGTATAACATATATTAAAGTATGGTAACTTGTGACTTGTTTTAAAATAGTTTTGCTATGTGGAACTTCAGGCAAGTTTGAGTCATGGTTATCTTCCTGCCTTAGCCTTCCCAGTGTGTTGTTTATTTCCCTTAAGAGCAGTGGTCATGCATTTATTAATGACTTCTTCCCCCTTAGGAAAGAAAAATGATAGGGGCGTTTAGGAGCTTGTTCCAGAGAGACCATCATACATTGCCTTACTTATTGGCCATCTTTGTTTCTGTACTATACATTCTTTGAAGACAGACCCTGGACTGACTCTCTTTTTACTTTATATCTATCCAGGTAGAATGTCTAACATGCAAGATGCATGTTAAAATATTTGTTGACTAAGCAAGTAAATAAATATGTTTCTGTCAGTGAGTGAGGGTTACATAATTCTCTTGTTAATGCTAATCCTATTTCTGTAACATAACAGGTAAAGAATGCAGAAAACAAAGACTTGAAGCTCCTGAAAGTGGAATGGCTACAAGGCCTATTTCTATTAGAGTAAAATAAAGTAGTATTTTTATTTTTAAATTATAATTTCTGATTTTCAGTGTGATGTTTTAGACAAGCACATACATGTGCTACATACATATACGTATATAGTATACATGCTTCTTTGGAGGTTTTATCCCCTTAAACTGCCATATAATTTTATTGCAATTTAGGGCCTTAGGGAATTTTTTCTGCATGTAATATCTACAGCTTATAGTTGACTTGAAATGCAGGATTCACTTAAAATTGTTTGACTCCATCAATTTAGTTAAAAGAGCCAAAGATAATTGCCTGTATGTCTTGAGTAAAAAATAGCAAATTACCTTATCTTGAGATTTTATATTAACTTTGTGTGTGTGTGTATGGTGTGTGCATGTGACTGTCTAGGCATGTTCTATCCATGTGTGCATCAGGAGGCCACAGAAGGAATTTAGATGTCTTGGTGTCATTCTTTCTCTGACTTAACATCTTAAGAGAAGGTCTCTTGTACTGGAACCTATCAAGGAACAAAAGGAGCAATTCTTGTCAAATCAAATGGAAGGCATTTTTCAGAGAAGAAGAAAAGCTTCTTGAATGTGAAACAATTAAAGACAGTCATGATTTGTCTCTAGAAAAGATCTTGGGAGAGGGTATTTATGCTGACCCACAGGTTCAGGCTGAATATGACGACCATATGCTGTCCCTATGCAGGAAAGCAGCACTAAACACATGGGATGAGGTTCATGAGCCAGGGGAACGACTGGAAGCTTATACCAGAATAGAACAGGGACCAACAGAACTATTCTGGGACTTCTTAGACTGGTTGACCAGAGCAGTAGACTTACAAGTAACAGATCCAGCAGTAAGACATTCGATTGTGTGTACAATAGCTTATGATAATGCAAACCCAATATGCAAAAGAATACTTTTGCCTTTAAAGATCAGATCAGCTCTGCTAGAAGAATGGGTTTTGCATACTGCCCACATTGACTATAATGTGCAAGATGCTGGAATCTGGTTAGGAGAAGCTATCCCAAGAGGTTTCAAAAGGCAGCAGGAGATTAAGAGTCCCAGAGATGATGACGGAAGGGCTTGGGAAGGAGAAACACCTTACAGGGATCGATATAGGTACCAAGAGGCCAGGGTTCATCACTACTATGAATCAGAGCCTCTGGTAGGAAGAGCCCATTCCAGGAGTCCACGAAAGCATCAGGAACATAGATGTTTCAGCTGTGGTAGAGTGGGACATATAAGGAGAAATTGTAGGCAAAGAAATTCTAACGATCCCTCACGTGAAAGGCCACTGCCTTCTGGATTGTGTAGGAGATGTGGTAAGGGCAGACACTGGACTAATGAGTGTAGATCGAGCAGGGCCATGCAAGGGAACCCGTTAAGGCTGGGAAACTCCGAAGGGGACCTCAAGAAGGCCCCCCACTTCGGAAAAAGGTCTGGTCGTTTCCAGTAGCAGTGGAAGACAATCTCTCACCAGCCAAATGCAAGCCAGAGCATGCCCAGGGCAGCCGAGCGGCGAGGCCAGAGAGAAGGGGCCTTCCATGTGCTCGCTACCACCTAAGAGTCATCCTGACCTCACCTTGACCATGCCTCTAACAGGCGTAGCTTACTGTCCCCTACAGGAACCTTGTTATATAGGCTAAGTAGGTTGGCTCCTGAGTTCTCGGGAATCTGCCGCTCTCTCCTAATGCTGGGGTTACAGGCACCTGCAGCCATGCCTAGCTTTTATGTGAGAGCTGGAGACTCAAATGCAGGTCCTTAGGCTTGCTTAACCTTTTACATTAACTTTGGTAGTTAAATATATGATTTTAAAACTTGATTAAGAAGTAGCTCCTACAAGTTTTAGATGAGCATGAAATCAAAATTCATCTCTTTCTCTTGAAGTTTTATTTTGTGTATGAGTATCATGCCTGCATATATGTCTATAAACCACTTACATGCAGTGCCTATCCTTGGAAGCCACAGAGTACTGGATTCCTTGGATTATTTGCTGCCATATGTGTGCTGGGAACTAAAGCCTGGTTACATGGAAAAGCATGCGTATGGAGGTCAGAGGACAACCTCAAGTATCAGTCCTTGATTTTCACTTGTGTTTGAGACAAGATCTCTTGTTAGTCATGTGTACACCAGACAGTTGGCCTGTAAGCTGGCGATTCTCTTGCCTGTGCTTCCTTCCTCACTAAAGGAGTGTTGGGTTATACAGGTGTATTCTGCATCTGGCTTTCCATAGGTTCTGGAGATCTGAATCAGGACCTTACAATTGAATGGAAAACATTTTGTCAATCATTCTACCTAAAATTTATTTCTTAAAAGATTAATAGCAAGTTAGACAAACCAAAAGTTTGAAAGCAAATAAAAAGATAACTTCATAAATAGACACTATATGGCAAGGTTATTGTGACTTTCAATTCCCAGTTTTTCTTCTAAAAACAACAAAATAGGAAATGCCATATCTTTGAAGCAACAGTGACCAATTTTAGAACTATTCGAAACTTGAGGTTGCAACAAAGACTCTAGAATTCTTACATTGATCTTACATTGATCAAGATAAGTGGATTAACATACAATAACACTGCAGATTAAGCTACTTTACCATGAAATGATAGAAGACCAAGGCCCAGGAAGTTTTTTTCTTTTTCTTTCAGTCTCTGAAAACATGTTCATGGCTAAATTATATAAAGTAGATACTTAAAGGGATTTTCTCAAATGGATACATCACGATATTAAGAAATAGGACTGAAGAGGAACCTCTTAGCAGATGATAAATTCCAGGATTATCTGGGTCTCACAGGAGAATGCTGAGTGGATAGCCACATTTCCCAGCAGCTTCCTGAGAGTCTGGTACCTTGGATGCACCTGATTTTGTCTGAGGCAGAGATGAGCTCTGGGCCTGAAAATAGGAATTGGGTAGAATTTGTATGCAGAAAAGTTAGACCTCCATCCCCCAGCACCTTAATATACAACACTGCCCTTAGGTAGGAAACTTGAAATGTTAACCTTGGATAAAATGCATTGGAGAATCATCAGGGGAGATGAAGGTTAACTATAAATGAAGATAATAAAACCCTTTAGCTTAATCTGCAAACTTCCAGAATCCTCCAGCCTGTAAGTCTCAAGCAAGGAGAATTTTGAAGGATTCTTTGAGGCATCAGAAAAACCACCTCTGATTATTGACACTTGGAGATTTTGTAAAGGAGATCTTCAGCCTTAACTATTCTACCACGAAGCCCTGAATCTGTACACTGTACTTTGATAAATTAAAAACCGGTGGCAATGTGCGTACACAGAAGGTAATTATAGCATACAGTTTGAGTTTCTCACAAGGAATGGGACTCTATAAAGAGCACTCAGATTAGGAGATGGGACAGTGGCAGCACCTCAGATGCTCCTCACAGGCTTGGTAGTCACCACACCAAAAGGAAGAAGACAGTTTATCTTTTATTCTTTGAAGAACTTTTTCTTGATTCATTTCTGTTTTTGTTTTGTTTTATCGTAGGGCTTCAAAAATAAACCAAAAAAAATGGGCCACATAAAGTCAGACTTGATTGATGTTGACTTAATCAGAGGTGAGTTGGAAAATTGATTTGCTTTTTTTTTTTTAAATAATACTACATTTTTTTCATTCTTTTTTTTTTTTTTCCCTCTCCCAACTTGACAAAGTAGAGGCACTTGAGAAGAAACTCAATTGAGGAATTACCCCTTTATCAGATTGGCTTTTGGGCATGTCTTTGGGGTATTTTTTGATTAAATTAAATACATGAGAGATGTTGCCCCTGGGTAGGTGGTCTTGGGTGTATAAGAAAGCAGGCTGAGCGAGCCCAAGGGAGTGAGCCAATAATCAGTGTTCTTCTATGGTCTCAGCTTTAGTTCCTACCTCCAGATTCCTTCTCTGAGTACCTGCTTTAGCTTTCCTCAGTGATGCGCACTATAAGGGATAAAGGAAGTAAACCATTCCATCCCCAAGTTGCTATTAGTTAGTGATTCACAGCAATAGAAACCAAACTAGTACTCTCCGTCACCCTGCCCTTTCCTCTCTCTCCCTCCCTCTCTCCCTCTCTCAGCTCTCCCCTTTTCCTCTTTTTGTCCATTCTTTCTCTGTCTTTCTCTCTGTGTGTCTCTTTTTAAAGCTTCAAGCTCAATCTTTCCACCTCAACTTCCCAAGTACTGTGATTGCAGGAAGTCTACCTTACCTAGTTTGTTACTGTAATTTCATTCTGGTACTGTAGAATAGTTTTAGGTATCTTCCATATATTGTTGTATAATTTTTTCCAAAAGTAACATTTCTTCATTATCATTCAAGTTTTTGCACTTTCTTTTTTGCTTTAATGCTTTGTGGTTATGTAAATAGCATGGTTTTAGTAAAGTTGAAAGGGAGATGACTTGGAGATTTGCTGTTGTGTCATTAAGAAAAATGTATTGTTTGCCATGCAGGTAAGCCTGACTTGTTTTTAGCATCTGTCCTTGTGCCTGAGGTGAGAGCATCTCAGAAGTCTTGTCAGTACCTTAGTTGACCAGGTCGTGTGCTAATTTTTACCCCACGCCCACATTTCTAATGTAAGGTGACAATTGGCCATCAGTACAGTGCATATACGTGTTTCTTATGCATTTTAATATTTTTGTTGTTGTTGTTTATCAACTGCTTAAAGGCTCAACATTCGCCAAAGCCAAGCCTGAGATTCCATGGACATCTCTCACTCGGAAGGGGCTTGTTCGAGTGGTGTTTTTTCCGTTGTTCAGCAGTTGGTGGATTCAGGTTACCTCTCTCAGAATCTTTGTTTGGTTGCTGCTGCTTTACCTCATGCAAGGTAACTCAAGAATGGAATAAAATAAGATGATTGCCTTTTCTATACTTAACAGAGGCTTACTGTATTATCACCCTTTCATCTAAAAATGAAATGAAAGCAGGCTATTAAATCTTTCCCACTTGTAATTCTTTTTCCTTAAGAAAATTTTTATGCCTCCCTGGATGTCTTAGTTAGGGTTACTATTGCTATGATGAACACCATGACCAAAAGCAAGTTGGGGAGGAAAGGGTTATTTTAGCTTACCTGTCCACATTATAGTCCATCACTGAAGGAAGTCAGGACAGGAACTCATAGCAGGAACCCATAGCAGGCAGGAGCTGATACAAAGGACATGGAAAGATGCTGCTTACTGACTTGCTTTCCATGACTTACTCAGCCTGCTTTCTTCTAGAACTCAGAACCACCAGCCCAGGGATCGAAATATCCACAATGGGCTGGGCCCTCACCACACCAATCACTAATTAAGAAAATGCTCTATAGCAGGATCTTATGGGGGCACTTTCTTAATTGAGGTTTCTTCCTTTCAGATGACTCTACCTTATGTCAATTTGATGTAAAACTAGTCACCACACTGGATACATAGTAATATAAAATAAGTATGTAAACCAAACATTTACTGGTAATAAATCAGAAAGAAGGGATGGAGAGTTGGCTCAGTGGTTAAGAGTACTGGTTCAATTCCCAGCACCCACCTAGCAGCTCACAATTGTTCATACCTCTGTGGGCAGCAGGAATAATGTGGCAAATACATGTAGACAAAACACTAATACATATAAAATAACAAAATAAATCTAAAAAAATTTTTTTAGCCCGGCATGGTGGCCCATACCTTTAATTCCAGCACTCAGGAGGAAGGAACAGGTGGATCTCTGTGAATTGATGGCTAGCCTGGTTCTAAGCCAACTATAGTCACATGGTGAGACCCTGTCGTAAGCCCTCCCCCACGGGCTGGAGAGATGGCTCAGAGGGGCTGGAGGGGCTCAGAGGTTAAGAGCACTGACTGTTCTTCCAGAGGTCCTGAGTTCAATTCCCAGCAACCACATGGTGGCTTACAACCATCCATTATGAGATCTGGTGCCCTCTTCTGGTGTGCAGATATACATGGAAGCAAAATGTTGTATACATAATAAATAAAATCTAAAAAAAAAAAAAAAAAGCCCTCCCTCACAAAAGAAAATACCCCAACCAAACCAACCAAATAAACAAAAAAAAAAAAAAAAACAAGGAAAAGAAAAGGAAAAAAGTCAGAAATTTATTTTAAAATAATTCTTTGGTGAGTATTTATACACGTAAAATTTTATCATTTATCAAAAATGAAAGCCTATTGATACTAACAAGATGGTTGTATATGTTTTAGTTTACATAATTAAAGCTTGCCCACATATATAATACATATTACAAAATGTTTTTGTTTGAGAATTTCATGCACATATATTGATATAGTTTGATCATATCTTTCCTTTTGTTCAACTCCTCCTGGATCCCCTCCAATGCTTACCTCTTCCAAGTTCATGTTTCTGTTTTTGTTCTTAAAACTCACTGAATCCAATTCAATCATTGCTGCCTTTATTGCTATGTCTGGGGCCATCCACTGGAGCACAGGCAAACTTAGTTTTGGCTAAACCACCTTAAACCACATTCTCTCTCCTGTCTTCCCTACTGCACAAACCTTTAAAGCCCCTCCCCTCATTCATATCGAGTCACCTCCTCTAGTTAAGACCTCTTTCCCTACCCCTCCAGATGCAGGGATGAACTGTTAAATGTATGGAGGCTTACTATTAAAAAGCAAAAAGAGGATGGTGATGAGAGAAAGAAAAGATGCAGGAATAAGAGGGGAAGTATGAGGTGTGACTGAAGAGCATATTGAAGAATGCCTCACAGTGAACTGAGTGGAGAAACACAAGGGGCAGGCTTGAAACCTCATTAAGCAATATGCAAGTCAAAGCAAAGTCAGCATGAGACACATCTGCAAGAATAGAGGTTAAATAATAGAGAAAAAGGAACTAAAGAATGTTTGGATGAAATTCCACTTTGTAGATGTATGGTGCTTGCTTTCTAGAGTTTATAGAGAATCTAAATTTACATAACAGCAAGGATGTAGTTCATGAATACTCTGCTATTATGTTGGGGTTTTCATTCTCTTTGAAGTTCAGCCTTGGTCAGAATTTGTTGAAGATTCATCCAACAAGGATCTTCGTTCACTGGGTTAGTGCTAACTTTGTCTCCACCAGCAACTAACTCAATAACATGAGAGTTATCATACATTAAAGTTTAGAAGAACTATAAAATTGAAGTGGGAAGTTCTATAGATAATTTTGATACCACCCTATTTTTCATATTTATTTGAAATTGTATATACATAATGAAAAGAAGCAATACAGCATGGTAGTTAATTCCTGGGTTCAAATCCCAGCTTTGGTAGTTGCTTTCCAGATCTCCTTGGGCCTTGGGAAATACTTTTCCTTTGAGTAGAATAGTAGTTCAGAACTGTCTTTGGAGGCTGGAGAGATGACTCAGCAGCTAAGAACACTTGCTGCTCTTGCAGAGGACCCCAGTTTGGTTCCCAGGACTCATGTTGGGCAGCTTACAATTACCTATAACTCCAGCTTCAGAAATCTGACACAGACACAGTCTCTCACTCACTCTCCTTTTTACCCTAAAGTAAAAACAAATCTCTAAACACCTAAAACTGTCTGCTATGTGTGGCATCTGGTTATCCCATGGTAGAAGTCCTTTAGCGATGCCTGGATTATCATGCTACAAGTTTGCAAAAATACTTCTAGTAGGTTATTTTTCACTTATCCAGCAATCTCTGACTCTAATTTTTATTCAGCTAATGTATTCTAGGAAATTGTTTACTTTTACTAGTCCTTTAGAAAAGACAGCTGTGGAAGCAGTGTGTGCAGTTACAGGAGTGATTTTTTTAGTGCTTTGCATTTTAAATCCTCTGCAGTCACAGCGATTGTGTTATATCTCATGATGCCTATTGTGAACGTGAGTGAAGTGCTTGGACCTTTGTGCCTTATGCTCCTCATGGGAACTGTCCACTGTCAGATTGTATCCACTCAAATAACGAAGCCATCAGGAAACAATGGGAATAGGAGAAGAAGGTAAGGGAGAGCTTGACTGGAGTGGTGAGTTTTCTTTTTGTTGCATATTTGACTTACAGATGAATGCTATTTCACTTTTCCCCTCCTGCTAAGAAGCCTAATTAACTTTTTAGTTTCATGTGCCTTTTTTTTTTTTTATCCAGCACAATATGTTTAAAAGGAAAATTACTATAAAATAATGGTTTTGAAAAAGCATTCTCTGGCTAAGGTATAGATATATCAGTGTAGGGCACATGTGCGGTGCCCTAGGCGCAGCCTTCACCATCTTCTGAAAAGTGAGAAGAGGCAAGAGAAAGGGAGAGAAGCATACTCTCTCTTTTTCCTTTCCTTTCCTCCCCCAACCCCTTTCAAAACAGGTATAGCCATGGCTGTAGTAGAGTTTACTGGCCTTAAACTCAGAGGTCTGCTTGCCCCTGCCTCCTGAGTGCTGGGATCAAAGGCATGCACCACCACCGCCCAACTGAGAAACATTCTCTTTAAAATTCAATTGGTGGTAGTGTGTTGACAGAGGTTCTGTTCTACCTGGTCCCACAGCTGTTTAGCCCCAAATAAACACACTGACGCTTATATTAATTATAAACTGTTTTGTCAATGGCTCAGGCTTCTTATTGGCTAGCTCTCTCTTAATTATTAACCCATAACTATTAATCTATGTATTTCTACATAGTATTATCTCACTAGATAAGGCTCCAGCATGTTACTCTTTCAGCAGCTATATGGTGTCTCTCTGCCTCCTCTCTGTTTCCTCTCCCCAGAATTCTCCTAGTCTCCTAGTCCCACCTATACTTCCTGCCTGGCTACTGGCCAATCACTGTTTCACTCATCAACCAATAAAAGAAACATATATACAGAAGGACATCCCCCATCAGTGGTGTGTGGTGTTGCACACCTTTAATTGCTAGCCCTCAGGAGGTAGAGGTACGTGGATCTCTGTGAGTTTGAGGCTAGCTTGGTCTACAGAGTGAGCTCCGGGACAGCTAAGACTACACAGGGAAAAAAACACTGTCTCAACCAAAAAAATTGTGAAAATTTACTATAGATAAGGATTTCATTATATTGGGTTAACACTACCAGTATTTTGACCTCATTTTCAAAAGTGTGCAATTAAAACCTATCCTCATGGTACATACTATCTCTTAGCACCTGGAAAGCAGAAGCGGGATGATGGCTTCAGGTTTGAGACCGGTCTGCTTTTTGTAATGAGTTCCAGGTCAACCTGACTTACATCATAAAGACCTGTCTCAAAACACAACAATCCCAAGCCAGTTTTTGACTTGTTTAGATGTCAACTCTGTTAGGTTTCTGTTGGTTGGGCGATGTGTGGGTTTTGGAGTGTTGAAGTTCTCTGTTTAGGTACAGTGTTATCTTTTAAAAGTTGTTTTCTCTTTCCTCAGACTATTTCTAGATTTCTTTACTTAGGCAACTAATAAATATGACATTGACATTTGGTTTAGTGAATTTCAATACGTTTATTTTTCAATGTTACTTTTAGAGCATGTTGCTTCTAAAGAGGTTTCCTATAAATTTAGTGTTTTTTAAAGAAACTAGTGTGCTGTGTCTCATTGATTTATAGGTGGGGTCTATAACAGAATTCGGGCATATATGTAAACCATTTAACAACATAGAATGTCAGTGGGAATGATAAGTACAATTACCGGTTGTTTCCTGTTTCTACTACTAGCAGGTAGACAGCTAATGGAGAAATACTATACTCTGGCTGGTATGGAGGGTTCCTGAAGAGGCTCATGGCCAGACATTGTTACTCTTTTCTATCCCTGTTCTGGACAGCAGTTCTATTTCTTCAGTGGATGATCAAAATCATAGCAAAGGACTTTGATCTTGAATCTGTTTTGTGTTGTTAAATCAGAAATACCTTATAGTCATTTGTCCTTGGTATATGAGGCTAACTACCTCATAGTTTGACTTCAGGAAATAGTCTATTAGCTAATTTTCTGAAGGGATATTATGGGCATAAATAGAAAAGGTCTTGAATAATCTGAAATTATTGAAATATTTTTTGTAGAAAATTACGAAAAACTGTAAATGGTGATGGGAGCCGAGACAATGGAAATAACTCCTCTGATAAAGTCAGAGCCGTAGAAACTCTGCAGTCTGCACCCAGTGTTGGTGGTTTTTGGGGGACTCTCTTTGGCAACAGGTGGGAGTCTCTTATTGGAATTTTTACTTGATTTTGTGTTCACTTTAGTGTTTGCAGGATCTGTATCTGCAGGGCTGTAGATTTAATAGTGTGAACTTGTTGTTATAGTTCTGTAATGTTTTAAGGGTTCTAGGAAGACTTGCTTACTCAAACTGTTGTCTCAACTATCTTTTCTGTTATCTTTAAAATGAGTAATCTACTCTCAACATTTCATTGCATTTGATTTTAATGGCTTTTTAGACAATAGTTGCAAAAAGCCCTCTGAAAGGCTAAAGGCCTTGGCCAACATTTGACAGAAAGGTGAATTTGAAACAGATGGGGGTTCTTAGAGCTGATGCCCATGAGGAATGGGATGTGTTAAGAAGCCTGGTGTTGGTGGGCTATAGGATAGAAAGTCAAGTGGATTAAAAACAAACTATGACTCATTTATAATTATGCAGGTCATGAGAGTACCAATGTGATGACTTAGGCATTCGTCTTTTTCTTATATTAATGATGGTGAATTAAAAACATGAAGCTCTTTTTTGAAGGTGAAGTATGGTCACACATTGTTCTAAAGATGTATTTACTCCCCTTGGTGAAGTGTTTGAGTTATGCTGAATAATTGTACAGTCCATGTCCTAGGTGATTGTCCTAGTCAGTCAGGAAGGGAGGAATAGGAAGGTGAAGTCACAGTGAAGTAAACTCATTCTGGCATATAGCTTAGCAGATGTTACATAGTCACATAGCTTAGCAAATGGAGTAAGGACAATGAATAGAAGAGAGGCAGGGACTGTGAAGTGCATTGATGGGCAGTATGAGACAGAAGTGGACATTCTCCTGGAGAGGTGAGCAGAGAGGGACTCATCCTTATAAGTGAGTAAATATTCTGCTCTTGAGTACCCTTCACAAGTTAGAGGTCTGAGCAATACAGTTTCTGAATTTTCTTGACTTTTAGAGTAATACATTGTACTCCATAGAAGAAAGTTTCATTTCATGAAAGATATTGCTCTCAGAAAAGTAATTAGTAAATTTTTTCTTTTTTAAAAAATAGGATTAAAAGGGTGAAATTAGTATCTAACAAAGGGACTGAAACTGACAATGACTCAGGCTGTCTCCATCCTATCATTAAGAAGAGACAGGGTCGACCAGAGATCAGAATGTGGCAAGCAAGAGAGAAAGCGAAGGTTTCCGATGGAGAAAAGTGCCATAGGGTAAGATCTAGATGGGCGTAACAGTATCTTTTTTTGTGCTATGTAAAAATTTTCTGTTCTGAGACTGTGTTAGAGACCAGATACCCATAGGTGTGTGAGTTTGTCAACAAACCGTAAGTAAGTAAAGCCACTGGTTATGCACAAGGAAATCCGACAAGCAGACTGGAGCTTGTGTGCCAAGGCAAGACCTTTCTGGCTCTGCTACTTATCACAGCCTTCACGGTGGGTGGGCAGGTTGAAAGAACACAGAGCAGTGTAGAGGGACCTTGTTTTTTCTACAGGCAGTGATCAATTTAGTAAGGGCTTAGGAAATTTCTAGGTCTAGTGCAGGTGGTTTGTTCTATGTCTAAAACTATACATTTTTGTTTTGTAGTTTTGAAATGTTTTCTTAGTCTTGAACTGAGGCATTTATTGTAATACTTATTTTATTAAGGTTTATTCCTGGGAATTTTATTATTTTTAAAAATACAGTATTTTTCTTTATTCTTTAAGGGTTTAATGTGTGTAGTGATGTATTTTGAGTGTATCTAACCCCCTCTATCTGCTGGAGTCTCTCCCCCATATTTTACTCCTAGCTTCATGTCATCTTCATCATCTCCCTCCCCTTTTGTAACTCACTGAGTCCAATTAGTGCTGCCAGTATCAACATGGGTATGTAGGCCATCTTCTGGCATGTGGGTAACATACCAGGGACTACAACCCTGAAGGAAACAGTCTTCTTTCCAGCAACCATCATCTGCCAGAAACTCTTCAGCTAGAGAGGAGGCCTTGGGAGTCCCTCCTCCATCATGTTGAAGTGTTGACTGTTTTGATCTTGTGCAGGTGTCACAGCTGCTGTGAGTTAATGAGTGTGGTGTTCCTGTCATGTGCATCAGACACCGTTTTGCAGCAGTCCCTCTGTCCTCTGGCTTTTAGACTCTGTGCCTTCTCTTCAGTAATGTTCCCAGAGCCTTGAGAGGAGGGTGCTGTGGTATAGATGATCCATTTATGGCTGTACATTCCACAGAGCTCTGTACTTGGACAAGTTGTCTGTATTAACAGATGCCCATTGGAAAAAGAAGCTTCTCTGATGAGGACTGACAACCTCAGTAATCTACGGTACAAAGATAAATATGTAGAAGGCAGTTTGATACTGTATCCACTTAGGAAAATAATAAGGTCCTATGAACTCTCCAACTGTGGAATTTTGGCCACAGGTTTATAGCACTAGGCAAGAATTCTCCTCTGTGGAGTGGTCTTTAAATTCAATCAGAAAGCAATAGGTTGCTCCCATAATATTCATGCCAGTATTGTACCATTAGGCAAGTCTTGCAAGACAAGTTGTTATTGTAATTCACAGGGGTCACAGCTGGGTAAGACTCTTGATGACTTTCTCTCTTGGAAGCCTACATAGCACCTTCTGGTACTATGAGGCAGTCAACAAGGAGAAAGCTTCCAGGTCAGTTCCAGCTTGATTTCTCCAAGTCCTGTGACCAAAGTGTGTTGTTTCTTTAGAAGTAGGGTCCAACCAACAAGTTATGGTGTGCAACCACGAGTAATGGCAATAGCATGTATTGTTTTGGGGGGGGTCTCTGAGAAAGCCCCCCCCAACAGCTTGAAGGGAGATGTGTCAAACCTGGGGCTGGGCTCTTTGTTTGATGAGAGCCTATGGCTTTTGAAATGTGTCTGAACCTCCTTGTGAAGGGTAACTCCATTTAAGCTCATTCATATCAACAAATTTGGTGATTATTTTAGGATGCTTATAAAAGATCCATATAGCTTTTTCAAATACCTTTGGAGACACTTATTCCTCATCCCACTCCTCCTCTATCTCATCCTTTGATTATTCTAGTGCTTATTAGGCCATCACTGCAGTCAGGTATTGTTTTAAGTGCCTTACAAATACAAGCTGACTTCCTTGTTTACAACAGCTCTATGAGGTAGGTACTTTTCTGTTATCATGACTTTTCAGATGAGGAAACTGAACCTCAGTTAAGTTACTAGCTGCATAGCTAGTAAACAGAAGAGCTGTGATCCAAGCAGAGTTTGACCTGAGCCTGTGCTGTAATTTGTCATCACACTGCCTCGTATTTAGGCTGCTGAGTTTCAAGTGCACAGTTTTCTTAATTTTGATATTTTTAAAAATGTTGAGAGATTGAGGCTGGAGAGATGGCTCAGCAGTTAAAAGCACTGGCTGCTCTTGCAGAGGTCCTGAGTTCAATTCCCAGGAACCACATGGTGGCTCACAACCATCTATAATGGGATTTGATGCCCTCTTCTGGCATAAAGTTGTACATATAGACAGAACACTCATTCTTAAATATATCTTTTAAAAAATGTTGAGATCAAGTAATAAGTAGATCTGTTAGTTTGGGTTTCATTTCCTTTCATCTCCTGGGAACTTTTCTGTGAATTTTGTTTTTACATAGGCAACTTCCTGGAGTGTTTTTTGCTGTCCATTGTGAGATACTGTTTCTCTTTGTAGGAGGCTTATAGGCATTTGGGTAATGGAATTTCAGATGATCTGTCAAGTGAGGAGGATGGTGATGCACGGACACAGATGATATTATTGCGTAGGAGTGTGGAAGGGGCGTCAAGTGACAATGGTTGTGAATTTAAGAATAGAAAATCTGTATTTTCAAGGCACCTAAACTCTCAGGTAACTTTCACTTTTGTCTACAAAAGCATGGATGTTAACTTCAAAAACACTGAATAGTAGCAAGATATTTACATGCTTTCCTGTTGTTTGTTGGTTTGATTTTGGCAGGTAAAGAAAGCCACGACAAGGTGGTGTCATATAGTACGGGATTCAGATAGTCTGGCTGAGTCAGAATTTGAATCAACAGCCTTCAGCCAGGTAAAGCATCCTTTTGTAAGAGCAGATTTTGAGGTGTCTTCTTGTGTGTAATGACTTTATCTGTTCCTTTCTCTTGGTTCTCTGAAGTTTGTATTTAGTTTGCTTTCAGTTCTCTCAGCTCAATTTGAGGTAACTGCTCACCCCTAGAAAGGAAATGAAAATGTTTTTCATTTTTTCTCTAATCTTAAAAGTATCAATGATAGGCTGGAGAGATGGCTCCGTGGTTAAGAGCACTTCCTGATCTCTCAGAGTACTTGGGTTTAATTTTCAGCACCCACATGGTGACTCACAACCATCCATAACTTCAGTTCCAGGGATCTGTTGCCCTCATTGATTTCTATCTCCATCCAGGCATCAGGCACGAGTGTGTTACACATATATACATGCAGGCAAAACACTTATACATGTAAAGTAAAATAAATAAATCTTGATGTGTCATAGATGATGCTCAGGAGGACAGTTATTTTGGACATGGAGATGGTTCAGTTGGTAAGATGCTTGCTGCATAATCATGGGGCCTAAATTTACTTCCCAGAATGCATGTTAAAAAGAAAAAGCTGGGTATGATGGTTTGTGCTGTAATGCCAACAACAGGGATGGCAGAAATGGGTGGATTTCTGGGCCTCTCTGGTCACACATGCAAACACACACACACACACACACACACACACACAGAGAGAGAGAGAGAGAGAGAGAGAGAGAGAGAGAGAGAGGGAAGGGTAGGGAAGAGGGAGGGAGAGGAGTTACTGAGTTGGTTTTTAGATTCTTAAAGACTTATTTATGTGTAAAGTGTTTTGTTCATATGTCAGACTTTGCACCATGTGTGTGCCTGCAGATGTCATAAAAAAGCATCAAATACTCTTGAACTAGAGTCAGGAACTGTCATGTGTGCTGGGAATCCAACCCCCATCCTCTGCAAGAACAAGTATTCTTAACCATTGAGCCATCTCTCCAGCCTGGTTCTTAAGTGATATGGTTACTTAATACTCATTTGGCATATGGAGGTTTACCTTAAGTGGAGTTGATATGTCTGAAGACAGACTTTAGCTGAGGGACCTCTAAAAGACAGGTGAAGGTTCTGATTTTGAGAGTGCAGGGGCATATTTGACCATGGTCTTCGTAGGTGAGCATAGTTAAATGATGGTGTGGTTTTGCTGTTTGACCATCGGGATCATGGGAAAAGTTTCAATATTTCTGTTTGTACTGCTGGGGTATTGCACAATTTCTGCTTTTCTCTGCCTGGTTATTTTTGAACATAGTTGGGTTGGATCCTGGCCAAAACAAGCTCTTCTGTCAAACTCACAGTGTCTCAAAAGGCTTAGCCAGGCCAGCTGGGCAGGTCCTCTGCCCAGGAATCACTTACCACATAGCACATCTAAATTGAATAGTTGAATGTTTTGGTAGTAGCTACTTAGAGTGAATTTGTTTTAAAGTCCTGCTTTGCCAATTGTATTAGGGTTCTTTAAAGGAAAACAATTGATAGCATGAATACATAGATGATACATACATATATGTACATGTGGATATATGTGTATATATGTATGCATGTGTGCACATATGCACGGTATATATGTAATGTGTATTCATGCATGCATGTGTATGTATATATACACATTTATGTCACATAGTGGATTTATTGGACTGGGTTACAGGCTGTGGTCTGAGTAGTGCATCAATGACTGTCTCATGACAGAGAGGCTAAGAATCTGGTGGTTCTTATACATGTAAAATAAAATAATCCAGTCCACATGGCTGGATGTCTCAGCAGTCCCAGTTTGGTGCTGGAATCTGAAGGAAGGCTGGAGGGTTTTTTTGGTCTTCCATCTGTGTGTGAATCATGAAGAAGTTGGATTTAAGACCAAGCTGTAGCAACAGGCTAGATGGACTTGACAGTGAGAGTGAAGGAAAGCAAGTAAATGGCAAAGCTTCCTTCTTCTGTGTCCTTCTACCTAGGTTGCAATCAGATAGTGTGGCCCAGATTTAGGGTAAGTTCTCCTGCTTCAAATAATCTGGTTAAGAAAATCCCTCACAGGAGTGCTCAGCAGCTTGGGTTTTAGTTGATTCTACATGTAATCAAGCTGACAACCAAGATTAGTCATCATCCAGAGTCATTGGAGTTTGACATTTAAGTATTAAAATGCATTATCATGTTTATTATACATGGTGATCAACTTATAAAAGCTTGCCAGCCATTGCCATGAATGATTTGTTTTCATTGTGTTTTACTATAACTTTTAAATGTATGTATTTTCCCTTTTTTGTTTCCCTTTAAAGGGTTCTAGGTCTGGTGTGAGTGCTGGCTCTCGGAGCCTTAACTTGTCAAGAAGAGATTCAGAAAGCACCCGCCATGACTCAGAGACCGAGGATATGTTATGGGATGACCTTCTCCATGGCCCAGAGTGTCGGTCATCTGTCACCAGTGACAGTGAGGGGACTCATGTAAACACCCTTCATTCAGGGACCAAACGTGATCCCAAAGAAGATGTTTTTCAGCAGGTATATTAGGACAATGATTAAAATAGTGTGCTAGTTAATGTGTTTTCCAACTTGACAAAAACTACAGTCACCTAGGAAGAGGGAACCTCAGTTGAGGAATTGCCTCTATCAGGTTGGTCTGTGGGCAAGTTTGTGGGATGTTTTCTTGATTGCTTATTGATGTGGGAGGGCACTGTGAGCCATGCCATTCCTGGGCAGGTAGGACTGGGCTGTCTATGAAAGGTATCCGAGAAAGCCAGTAAGCAGCATTCCTCTGTGGTTTCTGCTTTAGTCCTTACCTTGAGTCCCTGCTCTGACTTCCCTCAGTGATGGACTGTGAACCTGGGAGTTTTAAGATGAGGTAAACCCTTTCCTTCCCAAGGTGCTTTTGGTCAGTGTTTTATCATGGCAACAGAAACAGAACTAGAACAGATAGTTGATACTGATACTTACTCCATACTTAGTATTTGTCAGCCACTACATCATGGTTTTTAACTTCACAGCAGTTTTAGAAGGGTACTGTTGTGATTCCCAGTTTAGAACTGTGGAAACTGAGCATAGTTCCTAAGAGAGGATGTTGAGATGAGAACTTGAGAATCCTCTGTAGTTGCTTTGACTTGAATTTCTCTTCATAATACTTTGTGTCTTTTCCTTCAGATGATCTTTACTGTTTCTTTTCTCTGAGTGGCTTTGTTTGATTGGTACTCTGATTTATGATTTACTGAATTTCATGTTTCATAAAAATTATGCAGAAATGGTAATGCTTGCTTCTCTACTAAGCACAAATCAAGTGACACTTTTGATCTCAGGTTTGATTTTAGTCTAGAATCATAGATTCCTTAGAATATATTTGACTCATTCTGCATCTGTACAGTTTATTTTTAACCATTTGTCATGTGCTAAAAGAGTTTTAGGAATGCCATGAAGAAGCTAGTGTGATGCATGGCAAGAGTGTGATCATCCTAGGTGGCCAGTGCTCCTCTGCTGGAGCTCTGGAGCTGGTGCTTATGTGTCCACTCTGATGGTGGGTAGGCAGATTACTAGTTGGTTCTCATGGCAGTCTTTTGGATGGCTAGTAATTCCTCTTCAGTTTTCATGCTTTTGCCTGTTTACAAACTGCCTTGAAAGTAGCAGTGAGTATGGTGGGGGTTTTTTGTTGTTGTTTTGTTTTGATTTGGGTTTTTTTTTTTAATTGACTTACTAATGAAGACATGGAAAAGGTTTGGCATTTATGTTTGGACTGCTGGGGAGCAGTCATTTGCTTCTGTATACTTGTTGTAACACAGCTTCAACTTGACATTCTTTCCATGCTTGGTACATGTGCTCTGTAACTCAGCTGACCTCCTGCTGGTGTTTGAAGCACCAGCCCACATGTGCCTCTGGACCTTTGCACACAGCTTCTTTGTCTGGCAAGTGCCTTTGCTCTTTGCCTTACTCCTTTTCCTTTTCCAGACAGGTCTTGGTTGAAGTACTTGGTTCCTTTTGGAATCCTCCCCTGTGCACTCCTCAAGCATGCTCTCCTTTCCTTAGCATGCTGTCTGATTAATGTCTTTAATTATATCTCCTTTAATAGTCTCTAAGCTACTAAATAGCAAGACCTTGTGTCCTTTTGCCCTGTAGCTCAGGCTAGCCTGACGTTTGCTATATAGCCCTGTTTGGCCTCAGGCTTGCTATCCTACTTCTTCTGCCTCCTGAGTACTAAGATTCTAGCATGTGCTGCTGCAGTGTGTCCTGTCTTCAAGTATGTTCTGCAGCAGGCACTTAATAAGTATTTTCTGGATGTAGTGACTGCATCAGTGAAATCAATGAATGCTTATCCAAAGAAACCATCGGTATGTGCTCCCTTTCTAGCAGATACCTACCATCTGCTCTTGTTCTAGATGCTTCACTTTGGTTTGTGGGCACAATAATACAGATGATATGCTCTCTGATTTCAGAGCAAAATCAGGTTCAAGGGTGTGGGGAGAACCAGTTGGAGAAAAGTCTCCTAAAGTGATACCTATCAATAAGACAGTCTCAGCAGAGGAGGGTGGGGGCTGTTGTCGTGGTGACCATCACTTCTGCCTTTGGGCCTTTATGCTTTTCCCTGTTCTTAAGGCTCCAAAATATCCCATTTTTTTTTTTTTTTTGTATGGCCTCTAAGGCTCTAGGCTGCTTTCCCTCCTCACTTCCTACAGTCTGTGGCTCTAGAGGTGCTTTCCATAATACCATATCAACACACTATGTGCCCTTCATACCTTTAGAAAGGCAGTGACCTCACACACCCTGGATCTTAACTCTCCAGATGAGTTCTTAGAGTGATGGGCTCTGAGATAGAGAATGAATTATGATGAAACTGAACATTGGATTCTGGGAACCGGATAGAAGGAGAGAAGAACTAAAAAAGGAAAGATGGAGTGGATGGAAACTGTTTTCTGTCTTTCTTCCTAGAACCATTTATTCTGGCTTCAGAATTCAAGTCCTGCCTCTGAGCGAGTTAGTGCAATAATCTGGGAAGGAAATGAGTGCAAAAAGATGGACATGTCTGTGTTGGAGATTAGCGGCATCATCATGAGCAGGGTAAGAGTGTGTGCATCACAGAATGGGCTGTTCAGTAAAAGCCTATTTATCACAGAATGGGCTGCTCAGTAAAAGCCTATTTAACGCCACTGGGTAGTGAGCAGGGTGAGAGTGTGCGCTTCACAGAATGGGCTGCTCAGTAAAAGTCTATTTATCACAGAATGGGCTGCTCAGTAAAAGCCTATTTAACGCCACCAGCTACTTCTGTGTCAACTTGACCCAAGCTAAAGTCATCTGAGAGGAGGGAACCTCAATTAAGAAAATGCCTCCAGAAGATCCTGCTGTAGGGCATTTTCTTAGTTATTAACGGGGAGGGCCCAGTCCATGGTGGGTGGTATCATCCCTGGGATGTCAGTCCTGGGTTCTGTAAGAAAGCAGGTTGAGCAAGCCATGGAGACCAAGCCAGTAAGCAGCATTCCTCCATGGCCTCTGCATCAACTTCCGCTTCCAGGTTCTTGCTCTGTTTGAGTTCCTGTCCTGACTTCCCTCAGTGAAGGACTGTTATCTGGAAGTATAAGGGGAAGTAAACCCTTTTACTTTTATAAGGGGAAGTAAACTCCCCAACTTGCTTTTGGTCACAATAGTAACCCTAATTATGACAGCTTGTAACTTCGATTTAGAAACAGATTTTGAAGCAGTCTTTCGTTGGTGGACTTTACACTTCACACTTTGCACCATTAGATGCTCAGGTATGCTCAGCAGTCATTCCTTACTGGCTGAAGCCTAGTTTGTAGCAAGTCGTAAGTCTGTTCCCACCATCCCCTGTTTGGTGCTGGAGACTGAAACCATGGCCCGTTACATGTCAGGCCAAGTCTTTCTGTTACCTTTTGTGTTGTCCTTTTAAGATTAATCTTTAATATTCTAAATAGTATTTGATAAATACTTTTTGTAACTTCCTTTCCCTGTGTAGTACTGATGGAGATTTTAAATTGGGTTGCAGGTCAATGAATATCAGCAAGGAGTTGGCTATCAGATGCTGGGGAATGCTGTCACCATTGGCTTAGCATTTTTCCCATTTTTATATCGACTTTTCCGAGAAAAGAGTCTTGACCAACTAAAGTCCATCTCAGCAGAGGAGGTCCTGACCCTCTTCTGTGGTGCACCACCGGTCACACCTGTTGTTGTTTTGTCTATAATTAATTTTTTTGAAAGATTGTGTCTTACTTGGATGTTTTTTTTCATGATGTGTGTGGCAGAGAGAACATATAAGCAGGTGAGTGCACAAACAGGCAGCATTTGTCACCTCTGACTCCATTTGGCATTCCATTGAGTCATTTTATTTCTTTGACTTTGAGACTTGTACATTTAATGTTCATATTGTTGACTATTTGAAAAATATATTATAATCTGAAACTTTAAAAATATTTGGCAGTTTCATATGGTATACTATATTTGGATCAATTGCTCTATTACCCTCTCTTATCTGCCCTCTCACTCCTACTGAATCCCCTTTTCTTCTCACTGAGTCTCCTTTCTATTTTTATGTTTTTAAAAAAATGACCTGAGTTTTATTAGGTTGCTTGTACAAGTTTGGTGCAGGGTTATTAACTAGAGCAAGACAACTCTAGTTAGAGGAAATACCACAGATGAAAAACAACCCATCCCCGGCTCCATCTTGTGCCAGGTTTATGCAGCCATGAGTGTTACAGCCATGTCACCTGAAATTTTGCTGAAGCCTGTATGTAAAAGCAAGTGGTATATGTTGCTGACTGCTCAGCATCAGGACCTTGTATTTTATCCATAGCACATACAGTGCCAAAGTCATAATATTTTTGTAGCAAATAGCCAGGTAAAGAAATGGACTGAAATCTGGGGAGTCATGGACTGAGGATTTCCTATGTTAGGGATGTACACAAGGAATGTACTATCTGAATGGAAATATAGTTCTGGCGTCAGCTAGTATTGTGTGTAAATATTAGAGGTTGTGAAAGGTAAGGGTTCATTCAAAGTTCCAAAAAATATTCCTTGCATACATTGAAAATGTGCCATATTTGGAAGAAGTGCTTCATTGTGGGATGGGCTTTGAAGTGAGCACTGCTATCTTAGGGAATCACTGGATGAGAATTTTGATTTTGTTTAACACTTTAACTATCCCAGGAATACTATTGATGGTTATTGAACATGCACCTAGACAATGTACATTTTATTTTGTGATTTTTTTTAAATCTCCTTTAGAGATTTTTATTTGCAAAACTCTTCAGCCATATTACTTCTGCCAGGAAAGCCAGGAAATATGAAATACCTCATTTTAGACTTAAAAAGGTGGAGAACATTAAAATATGGTTATCGCTGCGCTCCTATCTGAAGGTGAGCTGTTTTGATTAACTGTGGGATATTTGCAAGGCTATGGAAACCATGTGCATTGATGATTTTGGCCACAGTTAGTTGCTAAATATGTGGGGCTTTCTTGTCACTGGCACATGATTCCGAGGCTGCCAGATGTGCTAGATGCCAGTGAGATGGTGTACTGCAAAGATAGTAGTGGTATGTAAGTAAAGGAAGGGGAAGAAAAATAACTGTTGCCTAGGACAAAGGGCTAAGGAGCACATGCTTTTCTGGTTGGGAAAGATCCTAGCTGAAAATATGTTAATGAATCAACCTCTTAATTTGGAAAACATGGCTTTCAGTGTTTGAGGTTGATGCCTGAAATGTGTTAAAATGCTATGTCAGACATTTCTCATACACATTCATTTTCACACGAAGGAAGGTAGGACAACTCAATGCTAACAGTGTGAGGGCTGTTGCTGTCTGGCCATATCCTAAAACATTAACATGTGTCTTGCTCCACAGAGGCGGGGTCCACAGCGCTCAGTGGATGTGGTTGTGTCATCTGTCTTCTTGCTGACACTTTCAATTGCTTTCATTTGTTGTGCACAGGTAAAAGTTTCATGTCTGTCCTAATGGAAGGGGGAATTCTAGGCAGTGCCTACTTTGTTTTAGAGCAGGCTGCTGTGTGCTCAAGAATGCTTTAAATGTGTCTACATTCCTTTTGCTATTTTGGATACCTGTTACTATTTTAACTTTTTGAAGTAGGAATGTTGACGTCCTTGAAAACTTTTAGATGACTTTAAATTAGTTGAGTTGGCAATTTTTGACTGTAAAGCTGCCACATTGATAGTTGTAACTAATATTCCACCCACATTCTTCCTTCAGCGTTGTTAGCTCTCACTCTAGGGAAGACCGATCTTTCTCATTCATTAACTGTTTATGTGTTTATTAAATTATGGGCTAATGTGTCCTTGTTTTTACCTAGTAGGCTATACTCTATTATCTGTTTGTTTTGCTGTCTAATTTGTCCCACATTTATTTTCTTTCTTAAGCATGTTTATTCTTTCTGTATTGTAAGAAGTTACAGGCTTACCCCATATGTCCCCAGTTGTTGAGTGGTAACTGCAGTGGCCAGAGAATAGACTCAACTGTTTTCAGTCCTTTAAAATGGGTATAGAGGCTTCTTTTATTTACTGCCATTGCTGGGTTTTATTAAATCTGCCATTAGCACTGTGGATTTTGTCTGCTGTTGCTGAGAGCAATGCTCTCTACATACGGTTCCTCTAGGTGTTGTAATTATACTGCTCAAGGCATATATTCAGTTTGGAGTTGCTTTTTGTTTTTGATGGAAGTGTGCTCAAACTCTTCATGATTGTGGAGTTGTTTGTTGCCAGTTTTTGCTTTAAGTAACCCAGGATAGCCTCAAATGATGGCAGATGTCTATAACGCCAGCAGCTGAGAGAGGCAGGCAGGAGGATCAGGAGTTCAGAGAGGCCATCATTAACTATATATAGCCTGGGTTGTGTGGGTCCCAAGGATTGAAGTCCAGTCCCCAGGGTTAGTAGTAGGTAGCCTTATTGCTAAGCCATCTTGCCAGCTGCTGGTTACCTGTTTCTTATCCAACCTCATAGTCTTAGTCTATTTAAATGTAAAATAATTGTTGTAACTACAAATACTGTCTGCTTCCTGTTTGGCTCACCATTAATTTTGTTTCTGTCGTTTGTTTATTGATTTAGTAATATTCCATTTAGTTTTCTCTGTTTACTTCTACATTTGTTTACTATTGTCTGAGTAGTGACCTCAGAAATTAGCTTAGTGTGAAGTCTAATTAAATGGTTGATTCACTATAGTCTAATTTATACTTCCTTGATAATGACAGGATTTTTAAAAAAGATTGTTAATATTATGCATATGGGTGTTTTGCCTGCATATATGTCTGTGTATCACATCTGGAGTCTCAAAGAGGGCACGGGATCCCCTGGAACTGGAATTAGAGTAGTTGGGAGCTGCTATGTGATGTTGGAATTGAACTGCTGTCCTCTAGAACATCCAGTGCTCTTAACCACTGACCCATCTCTCCAGCCCCGATGACAGCATCTTAGAGCACTGTTTCATTTATCCATTCTTCTTTTGTGTCTTTATCTGTTATTTAAAATTTATGCATATTTAAGGCCTTGAAGCTGTTAATCATTATTTTCTGTAGCTGGTTACTTCTCAGATGCTGCTGCATATCTCATTGCTCCTTGGGTGTCTGTTTCTGGAACTGTCTCCTGCCTGAGTCCTTTCTTAGTGCTCTGTTAGTCCTGGTGTGCTGAAGATGAGTCCTCTCCCAGTTGCTCATTTGAAATGTCTTTTTTTCATTTAGTTTTTTTGAGATAGGGTCTCATGTAGTCCTGGCTGGCCTCCAGTTTACTTTGTAGACAAGGATAACCTTGAACTTCTGATCCTCCTGCATTTACTTTCCAAGTACTGGCATTACAATTGGGTGTCCCCACTTCCAGCTCACTTTTATCTTTTGATGGATATTGCTTGGTAGGAATGGAATCTTAGGTTTCCAGCTAGTTGTTTTGTTTCTCCCCCCCTCCTCTCACTCCTTTCTTCTTTTCAGTACTTCTAGGATATCCTTTTCTCATTATTTAGTCCTTGCTGGTCTGATAATCCATATGGAGACTAGGCTGGCCTTGAACTCAACAAAGTTCCCATGTAACCTCTGATTAAAGGCCTGTGTCACTATACCTGACTTTGTTGTCTTTGGGCTTCCATATTTTGTCTTGAGAAGTTAGTTATTAGTCTTACCGTTGCTTTGTGCTTTGTGGCCATTCAGCTGTGATTTGTGGGATAGTGTAAGAATCATGTTTCTTGAAGGACCCAATAGCTGCTGTCAGTTGTGACTTTCCTCATCCTGGTTATAGCTGATTGACCACGATGACCTGAACCCAGACTGAACTAAAGAGCTTTGCTCTTTCCCAGAGTTAAGAACCTGAGGTATTGGTAACAGGTTTTAGGGAAGGGATCATTCTGGCCATGGGGATCATGACAAACCAAGGCTGGCATTAGTGGTAGCACTGGGGTTCCTGTGAGGCCTTAGAGTTGGTCAGGGGGAAGAGGAGAATGTGGGCAGCTGCTTGATGACCCCTGCTTATTACACGTTTGCATTTGGTTTCTTTCTGTGGATAGTTCAAGAAATGATTCTAACTTTCTTGGGCTTTCTTGAGTGAAGTTTTTTTACTTTGAAATCAATAAATTTTAAAGCAGTAAAGCTTTAAGACACACAGTAGGCAGTCAGTGCAGCCATGTTGCCATGCTATTATCTGACTCCTAAAATGGACTGGCTTGAGAGACGTTACTACTGGAACTTGTTAGACAGATGCAGTTAACACTCTTAATAGTGGCCACCATGTGCCTGTGAACACACTGGTGATTCAAGGAGCTGGAAGTTTGTCATTTCTTACTTTTGCTGCTTATAGACGCTTGCCGTCTTTCATGATCAGGGAAAGAAAAAAAAAAAACCTAGGAAACTTGGAGAAATACACAATGGCTAAGTAAGTAAATAATACTTATGAATGAATATTCAACTTTTCTCTTTTGAGTCTTAAAATTGTGGATTTCAAACTGACACAGGAATACTTCAGTGATGTTAAGACAACTACTGAGTTTTTTCTGGTCTTTCGATAGGTTCTTCAAGGCCACAAGACATTCCTGAATGATGTTTACAACTGGGAGTTCTTGATCTGGGAAACAGCACTGTTGCTTTTCTTGCTTCGCCTGGCCTCACTGGGGTCGGAAACCAACAAGAAATACAGCAATGTTTCCATTCTGCTCACTGAACAGGTATTGATGGGATCCTATCAGGTTGGCCAGTGGTTACAGGTGTTGAGGACTAGAACTGACTCACGAGCTGTGACTTCATTCACATCATGTCACCTTTGCCACTCCTGTTATCTTTTTTAATGTATCTCAAATGAGCATAACACCCTCATCTTCTACCAAGGACTAGGAGGATGAAGAGCTAATGGGCTGGAAGTACTTTGTGATACTGTGAAAATATTGTTGGTAGTAAGGGAACATGTGAGCACATACTAACATTGACAGATGTTTCTTGTGACTGTGGAGTGATAATAATGTATTTTCTTTGGTAATTTTGATTTTAAGTTCAAGTTTCCCATAAACATGAAGTAAAAACTTGGGGATAATTTGTTTTTGTTTTTGTTTTGGCCTCAGATTCATAGTGGGTAATTCTTCCTTTAGGGGAAAAATAAGGAATTAGTAAGTTAAAACAACTATCTTTTTTTTCTCTTCATAAATGTATATTGAAGATATTAGATTACTTGGGGGTACTGAGAAGAATAAGACACAAGCTTTGAATTCAAGGAATTTGAATGCTGATTATGTATTTTTTGTTATTTTGATACTTAAATAGTTTCATCAGTAATTGTTTTATTTCCACTAAGCTTTTCTTTACCAAAGAGTTGCTGCTAACAGCGGTTCTCAACCTTGTGGGTCACGACCTCTTTGGGGGTTAAAGACCCTTTTACAGGGGTCACCTAAGACCATTGAAAACAAAGGTATTTACATTATGGTTCATAACAGTAACAAATCCGTTATGAAGTAGCAATGAAAATAATTTTATGGTTAGGCGGTTGCCACAACATATGAGGAACTGTGTTAATCGTATTAAAGGTTGTAGTATTAGGAAGTTGAGACCACTGTGATAAAGAATGGGGAAAAGCACATGGCCCTGTAGCTGCTGAATCCATAGACACAAAATGTGTTTTACTTGAGAACATGACCATCAAAATGTGCCAGATTTTTTGCAATCTGTATTTTTTTCTGCAAAATTTACCTTGCTGTCTTTTTTTGTTTAGATTAATTTATATCTTAAAATGGAAAAAAAGCCAAATAAGAAAGAACAACTCACTCTAGTAAACAATGTATTGAAGCTGTCCACTAAGTTGTTAAAGGTAAGTAATACCTCACTTACACTTTCACTACAGTGTTTAATAGTCAGCTTCTCAGTAAAACAAAGGGTAGAGGAGGTCACCACTGGAGTTAAGCCAGAGCTAGTACAAAGCTCCCTGAAGCAAGTCTAGGGAGAGTGGCTCTCACTACCATGCTGGGCTGCCTGGTTAGAAAAAGACCAGGTCTTTTCAGGTGGAGGTTGGGAGATCACTGGCTTATTCTCAGGAATATCCCTCAGGGATACAGTTTGATCATAGAAAAGCAGACCTCTGTTGGCCAGTGGACAGGGTCCTGTTTGGGTGTCATGCTTAGCTCTGCTGAGTGGCCACCAGCATGGCCATGCTTCCTGTCGTCTCCACACATCCTTCTGTGAAGAAGGCTGCTGGAGGTGTAGATACTACAGCCTCATACTCTCCTGCAACATGACTTGGCTCCTGTGGCTGTGTCCTCAGCCCTGTTCCCAGAGACACTAACATCACTGGTGAAACTGGGCCCAAGAAGCAGTTGCTTGTCTCATACTCATTGCTGCTTGTCTAGGCTGGAGTTGTCCTGGTGCTCTCTATGCCTTCTGAAGGTCACCTTTCACGGTGAATTGAAGACCTTAAGCTCTCTTATCGCTGACTTCTGTAAAGAGTTATGGCTGCCAGTTCTCTTTACCAGACATTCACCTGCCAAACCAAAGGCCTACTTGTCTCTGTAAAGAGGGCCCAGGCTCTGACTTCTGGCAGCTCAGTGTCGAATGCTAGCATGATGGGAAAGAAGTCCTATCACCTAGGTTCTGTAGGTACTCATGTCTTCTGTTTTTTTTTGTTTTTTTTCTTCTTTGAGACAGTATAACTAAATATCCCTGGCTGACCTGAAATTCACTGTGTAGGCCAGGCTAGCTTTGAACTCACAGAGATTTACCTGCCTCTGACCCCCAACTCCTGGGATTAAAAGGCACCAGTTTAAAAAAAAAAGAAAGTACTAATGACTTATTGCTCCCTTCCATTTTAACAAGGTTAGGCCATGGCAAGGTTAATGAATCCCTCACAGATTTCTTTGAAAGTACCTCTGGCATATTAAGGAAAGAGCCAAAAGCAGCATCTTCAGCCATTTAGCATGGAGTAAGATTGAGTGTTGGGAAGCCTTGTTTCATTTCAGTCCCTCTGTCTTCATAGGAGCTGGACACACCATTTAGACTCTATGGATTGACTATGAACCCCTTAATCTACAACATCACAAGAGTAGTCATCCTTTCGGCCGTCTCAGGGGTTATAAGTGATCTTCTAGGATTCAACATACGAGTATGTGTGATCACTGCTCTGGCTTTTTCTCGTTGAAAGTACTGTATGTGTCCATGGAATCAGCTCTTAAGGACATTGGTCTTGGTGCTTTACAGGCTTTTCAGCTTAGCTTTTCTCATTTTACAGAAGTAAAAGATTGAACTCTTGAGCAAATTAAAAGGCTAATTTGGAATTTCATGTCAATAGTGTGGTCTGGGGGAGCCTGTTACTATGACCTGGGGAAATACAGGAATGACTGAAAACCTGCAAAACATTAACTGCAGTGTGCCACTTTTGATCTTGAAGTATTTATTTTTCCTCCTTTTAATATAAGAATTGTTATTTATTTCTTCTTATATAAAAGGTTCTTGCTATGGAATTATTCAGTGAGAGTTGAGCGCATACTTCAGGGGTCAACCCATCAGAGATGCATATCTCATGGAGAACAGACCTCATTTAGCAAGGTGATGAGGATATTGTCACCAGAGATGCACATCTCATTAGCCTTATCTGCATGACGATAAGGAATACTGTCTTCTGAATGTGTTAGCTGCCCTCACTGTAGACTCTTGTGTGGAGAGCTCTTTCCCTCACATTACAGCTTGGGGATTTTTCCCATAGCACTACAGTGTGTTAATTGCTTTCTGGGCATAATTTCCTCTATGCATCGGTATATTGGATGACTCCCCCCAGCAATGTGTGATTCTGGCAAGAAAGTAATCACAGTCAATACTTTTACTCTCTCAACCAGGTCTTTGTAGAAACTTAGAAGTCTGTCCTACAATTATCTTCCTTGGTAGACAGTTGGTCAGGGTTAGAGTCTAGGCAAAGAGACCACAATTGAGACACTCACATATGCCCAAGGACAAGAATTATGACATGTATGAAGTTGTTGATCCATAGCTCTCAGAGAGATAGAGAACAAGAGTGTACTGGATTTACTCTGCCAGCAGATAGGGAAGTGCTATCCCAAGTTAACCTTGCATTCGACTTAAAGCAAATCCTTAACTCTTTGGACTTATTTTTACCTTGGTCTATTATAGCAAGATTATCCTGCGAGATAGCATAGGGTATAATCCTTAGAGCCAAAAGGCTCCTTTCAGCCAGCTACCTTCTAGCACAAGTACCAACAGGAACCAAATATTGCCCGTTTGTTTACATAAGTTACCTAGCTATCTGACACTCCTTCCACCCACTGGAGAAAAGCAGCACTCTGAGAAAAAAAGATTCTTGCCTTGCACCTGGTTTTTGCTTACTATAACTTTTAGCTTATTTATCAACTCAAATTTAAGAATATGGCAAAAGCACACATATCCCCTCTTAAATTTCCTTAATGACTTTGTCTCTCTCTCTCTCTCCTTCCCTCTCCCTCCCTCTCCCTCCCTCTCTCTCTCTCTTTCCCTCCCTCCCTCTCCCTCCCTCTCTCTCTCCCTCCCTCCCTTCCTCCCCCCTCCCTCTGCCTCTTAATTAATCTCCTTTTCCTTTAAGAAGTTCTTGGAAGCTTAGACCACTCCCACTCTAAGCTGTAAAAGGCTGATGTTATTGATTTGTGTAAAACTTTTATCTGTTTCTATGACCCTGAAAAACTCTAGCCTTGCACCTGGCTAGAGCCAGGGAATTGCTGATGTTAAGTGTACACAAGCTAGAAACTTTCACAGCACAAAAAAGAATAAACAGCAAAACAATAGAAAACAGTAAAGAACAGAACAGGATGGCAGAGCAATAAAGAGCACATGAATAGAAAGAACATGTTGTGAAAAGATTTTTTTCCTACAGCCCTCACTCAGGCTTTAGTTCCTCAGCTTATTGTAGTGTCTCTTTTGAGCCCTAAGCAAAGGTTCATACCCATCCATAACTCCAGTTCCAAGGGATCTGATGCCTCTTCTGACATAGGTCAGGCATGCATGTGGTACACATACATGCAGGCAAAACGCTTACCTAAAATAAAAAATTAATCTTTAAAATTTAAATGATAGTGAAAGTGTACAGTCCATTGTGATACACCATAGCTGGGGATGGCAGCTCAGACTGTTCACTGAGATGTGGCAGCTTTGCATCTGCTAATCTTGCTGTGTGGTATTTTTTTATTTGCAAGTTCTTTATAATAAATTTTTAACAAAACAGTAAATGGTTTTGGTTCAAAGTCATGAGAATATACATCTAAATTCCACCTATTTGTCTTACAGCTAACTAAGTGTTTTTGTTTTTTCTTTCTTTTGGGTGATTTTCTTTTTTCAGCTGTGGAAAATTAAGTCCTAAGCTGAGTCGTGTGCTTGGACTCTTTTCCGGCTGGTGTCACTGCTCGCCCACTGAGGACAAAGATGGCTCCCTGAAACGAGTGACTCCACCTGCCAGCTCACATGCATAAGCCTCTCTGCTCAGCCAGCCTAAGGAGTGGAGTTTCCAGAGGGGCACACCCTTTCCCTGGGCATGTGTGCTAAAGGCCTGCACTTCCATGGTTCTCAAGCAACGTGAATAGTCAGCAAACTAAAGCCTGCCTGATGGTGACGCAGGACCGTCTGAGTCAGGACATTTATCCTGGACCCTCCAGTATTGTGCTAGTTATATTTACTGGAAATAGTCTTCTGGGTAACCATGGTGGGTCCCAAAGCATGAAACAATTATCTTTTATTGGAAATATGCAAATTCAGTGCTTTTCTATTATATTCTGTGGATTGGGGATTTCTCTATCAGAGAGAAACTATTTTAGGTTAAATCTAAATAAAAGAACTTTACTGGAGAAAATACCAGTTTCTAGGATTTTTTTTTTTTTTTTTTTTTTGCATGGAGGGTAATACAATAACCTGTTAAACAGAATTTCTGTTTGTTTGTAGAGAAAATTTTAATTATGATTTTGAGTTAAGCTTGTGACTATAGTTGTTGGTGGGTCATGCATACTCATGAGTAATTCAGCCATGCCCACTGGATAACATGGTTTTTTTCTCTAATGGTTTGCCTACTAGACCACATCATATATCCAGCCTTTAGTACAATTTCAGGTCCTCAGTGTCTAATAATCGCCACTCTGTGCCTTGGATGTAGGGTTTTGTTTTGTTTTATTTTGTTTTGTTTTCCAAGCATCTCATTATGCAAGCGTCTCTTATTAGAAACCCCAGCATTCTTGCTCACGAAGCTCTCTCTGTTTTGAAGAATTTCTTGAGGAAGACTGGAAGTGTAAACACCTTAATGGTAAGATTTTAGAACTTGATAATCTCCTGTACTGCACATAACTCATAGGATTGGTTACACTTTTTTTGTTGTTTTGTTTTGTTTTTTTTTTTTGTTTTTGGAGCCAGGGTTTCTTGGTATTGCTTTGGAGCCTATCCTGGAACTTGTTGTATAGACCAAGCTGGCTTCGAACTCACAGAGATGCACCTGCCTCTGCCTCCCAAGTGTTGGGATTAAAGGCGTGTGCCACCAATGCCGGGCTGGTTACTCATTTTTTATATCTCTTTATGTGTCTAGATGTTTTGCATGTGTGTATATTTGTATACCATGTGCATGTCTGGTGCATGAGGCCAGAAGAAGGCATTAGATCCCCTGGGACTGGAGTTACAGATAGTTGTGAGCTGCCATGTTGGTGCTAGAGAGGGAACTCAGATCCTTTGCATACACTCTTAACCTTTGATCCATCCCTCCAGCCCTGGTTACACATTCTGTAAGCAGGGAAATTGATGAACCCAAATGTGAGCTTCCCAAGAGTCCACAGATTGTCCAGATCTTCTCTGTTTGCATCCTTGTCCCTGCTACTAAGTAGGATAATTACCTATTGATGTTCCGGTTTGATGAGATTCTATAACTTCCTTAGCACCATGCAAAATACTTAGCCATTAATTGCACCGTAAATATCACTATCTATACCTTTTTAAAATCTGATAGAATCATAAGCTTTGAAGAGACAAATATAGGTAGTATACTGGTCAGCAAGAAGTTTCAACCATCCCAAGTGCTGAGAGGGAGCTACACTTTTTTTTTTTTTTTTTTAACAAAAGTTCCATTGATGTGTGTGTACATGTTTATGTGTCAGAGTGTATGCTCACATGCTTGTGTATGCAGGCATGTGTGGAGGTCAGTAAAGCAAGTCCAGTGTCATGTTTTTTCTGCAAGGCTGGAGCCAGGCAGAGCCAAATAGATCTTCCTGTCTCCACTCCCTCAGGGCTGGCTTGTAACCTGGGTTCTGAGATGTGAAGTCTGGTCTTGATTATTGTGCAGAAAGTTCTTTTAACTGCTGAGCTGCCTTTTCCGCCCTAGGGGCTATGATTCAAGAAGCTGATCTATAGATACCTCAGATCTCAACAGACTCACAGAAAATGGCTGACCATTTCCATAAGGAACAATTGTCTTAGATTTAAGATTAAGTTTTTTCAATGTTTGTCTGTAAAAAAGCTGGTGCATTTTTTTTTTTTGAACCTTTAGAGTGAATTAGAGTACTTTCCTTTGAGGGTTAGCTTGAACTATGATTTTTGTAGTGTGTAAAAGGCTTGTGTGTGTTTTAGGCGGGTAAACTTATATACAAAGGCAACTACTATTTATCAGTGTAGGAATTATTTGTTGCTCATTTGCCTGCTTTATATCCAGTCACCAAGTCTGAATAATTATCTCTGGTGCTATTTTGTTTATGATCTAACAAATAAAGCTTGCCTGAAGATCAGAGTACAAAGCGAGCCACACTAGTTAGCCATAGAGGCCAGGCAGTGGTGGTACACACCTTTAATCCCAGCACTAGGGAGACAGAGACAGACTGATTGCTGTTAGTTCAAGGCCACCCTGAGCTACACAATATTGATCCAGCCTAAAAGAGAAACAGAGCTCACACAAAGGTGATCGCAGCACTTGGGATCCCATGCTTTTAATCCCAGCACTAGAGAGGAATATAAGTGGGAGGAGACAGGAGCTCAGTGCAGTCGGAGGTTTGGTGGAGACAGATGCAGTCTGGAGATGAAGTCTGAGGACAGGATCACCCCTTGGTCTGAGTATTGGTAGAGGTGAGAACTCTCTAGTGGCTGGCTGCTTTGCTTCTCTGATCTTCAGCTTTAACCCCAACATCTGTCTCTGAGTTTTTATTATTAAGAACAATTAGAATTCGTGCTACAATTATCTTCTGATCACTTCATGCTTCTCTGTCCCCATTGCCACCCACTGTAATTTGACATTGTTTTTATAAATAAGGCCTTTCCACTTCCATTTTACTTAAGGCTTCCTCTCCCCCTAGTCTAATCCAATGTTGCTGGGCTTTTTGTTTTTTAAGGTGGTAGATCTTTTGTAAAATATATCTCATTTGGAATCCATTCATAGTTTACTGGCAGTGTTGATGTATGCCTTTATTAATCCCAGAACTCAGGAGGCAGAGGCAGGCAGATGGATCTCTGTGAGTTCAAGGCCAACCTGGTCTACAGAGTAAGTTCCAGGACAGTCAAGGCTACACAGTGAAACCCCATCTCGAAAAATGAAACCAAAGCAAAACAAAACAAAAGCCACAGTTTACTGTTATTGTGAAGATAATTCACATTTTTTAAAAAAATACGATATTTAGGCCTATTGTATTGAAATATTTCTAAATCTTTATTACATATAAAAGATTGAATATAAGATTTTAAGTTTTAAAAAGTAGTTGCATGCCAAGACAATGGCACACACCTTTAATCCAAGCCCTGAGGAGGCAGAGGCAGGTAGATCTCTGAATTTGAGGCCAGCCTTGTCTACATAGCAAGCTCCCTGGTCAGTCAGGGTCACATAGTACGACTTTGTCTCAACAACAACAACATTTGTCCCATTGCCTTCTAGATTGCATTGTTTCTGACCAGAAGTCTTTAATTTTTGTTCCTCTCTAATAATGAATCTGCTGCTTAATTTTGGCTGCTTTTAAGATTTTAGTTTTACCACTGAATTTGTGCAATTGAATTATTTGTGTTGGTATAGTTGTTTTCATAATATTTGTGTTGGGATTTTTATATTTAAGGGATCTGTGGTTTATTCATAGTTCATAGTCGTTCATAGTTTCACATGATCAGATTACAAAACTTTTTGCCATTAAAGTTTTTTCTACATTCTACTCTGACCTGTCTTCTTTTGGAACTCAAATCTACCATGTGTGTATTTGGTTTCTTGGAGCATCCCTTTTAGCTCACCAAAGTTTATGTTTTTTCAGACTTTTATTTTTTTGATTGTACCTTTGTTTTCTACCCTGTTCTGCACTAATTTAGCAAACTCATCCAGCATATTGTTGCTAATTTTTTAAGACCAGTTGCACTATGTAATCAAGGCTGGCCTTCATCCCCCATCCCTCTTCATCTTTCAGCACCACAAGTATGTGCTATTGTGTCTGCTCTCTCCAGTACATTATCCAAAGTTTGATTTTAGTCTTAAAAACAAACAAACAAGCCTTCCATGTCTTTCCTTTAAATATTTACGGTGTTGTTTCTTCAGTTGGGACATGTTCTGGTTTTACATGCCTGGTAAATTTTTTTGTTTTTTGAATTTCATTTATTTGGTTTTTCGAGACAGGGTTTCTCTGTGTAGCTTTGGAGCCTATCCTGGCACTCGCTCTGGAGACCAGGCTGGCCTCAAACTCACAGAGATATGCCTGTCTCTGCTTTTTAAAATTTTTTTGTAATTAATTTTTTTTAGCTCAAATTAGGAACAAGCTTGCTGCACATGTCAGTCCCTTCTCCCTCTCCTCCCCCTGGTAATTTTTTATTGACTGTGAATGTGTAGTGTTGGGAGTGGGGTGTTGTGGTATACATGTATTCTTTTTTGTAATCTTATTGAGCTTTATTTTGAAATGCAGTTTCTTTGAGACAGCATTTCAAGGATTGCTTTTAAGCTTGGTAGATGTGCCAGGGGTAGCTAGACTTAAGATAATTATGTGTTTTTTTATTTTTTATTATTTTATTCTTTTATTAGTTCAAATTAGGAACAAGCTTGCTTCACATGTCAATCCCTTCTCCCTCTCCTTCCCCTCCCCCCCCAACATCCTACCTGCCCCTAGCCATCCCCCCTCCACTCCCCAGGCAGGGTAAGGCCCTCAAAAGGGGCTCCCTAAGGTCTATCACATCATTTAGGATAATTATGTTAAAGCAGCATTTTTCTCTGCACTACACTTGGTTGTCTGCTTGTGAGGAAAGAGGTTTTCCTGCATTGGTAGTATGATTCCAGTCCTGTGTAGAATTTAGCATTTTTTCTACTTGCTTCTTTTGGAGGTTCATTGTGGTTGGGTTTTCATGTGTTTGTGCTACCAGTATTCAGTTACAACTGGGCTACCCTTCTGCATGTCTTTGGAGCTCTCCTCCTCTCTGAGCAAATGCATTCTCTCTGGTGCTGGTTCCTTTGGGGCTTACCTTTCCTCATAGCAAGATTGCTTCATTTGGCTTTCCTTTCTACATTCAGCCCAGAGGCTGTTTGTAGGCAGTCTTGGGAATCTCCTTGTTTAACTCTGTTGTCCTGTGCTGCCCTTGTTCAAAACCTAACATCTGCTATTAAACTTTTTCCATTATTTTTAGTTTTAAGGAGACATATTTTCCTCACCTTAGTAAATGGTATAGAGCTGATTCAGCTGCTCAGGTAAAGGCTCAATGTCTAAATCTAGTTTTGCCTTGTGGTGGTTTGAATGAGATGTCAAGCTTAGTCTTGGGGATTTGAATATTTCTGCTCAATTGGTGGTGCTGTTTGGAGAGGCTTAGGCAGTGTGGCCTAGGTAGAGGAAGTGTGTCCGTTTTGAGAACGGAGACTCTCAACATTTCTATTTTATGCTCTCTGCTTGTGATTTAAGATGTGAGCTCTCAGCTTTTTCTCCAGCCAGCCTGCCTGCTGCCTCTGCTCCATTATCATGCACTCTTAACTTTCTGGAGCTTGTAAGTCCAAACAAACTTCCTTTGAAGGTTGCCTTGGTGTCTGCTTTACTGAAGTTTTAGAAAAGTAACTAATACATGGTTTTCACTGCTACTAGCTAAGGCTTCTTTAGGCTCACCTGGGCTGCGCTGCTCTGTTGGGTTTCCATTAGCTGAAGAGCTGATTTTCCACAGCTGCATGAATGAACTTAAAATATGGAGATTCTCACACCATCCATACGAAAGCTTGTAGGAGTTTCCTGCAGTCACCTCCAAGGCCCCTTTGTGTCAGTGCTGCATTCCTGCCAGTTTGACCTCCCCTACGTTGGCTTCCTTTTCTTCCCTCCACACCATCTCCTTTACCAAGTTTTCTCTTCCTAGGCATATCCAAGTGTTTCTTCTGCCTTGGAATACATCTTTTAGCTCTCAGCTTTCAGGCAGGGCTCTCTCTCTTTCATGACTCTAGTTAATTATCAGTTTTATCACTCACTGACTTCCTTCATGTGCTTCACAATCTTTTGTCTACTTGTGTTTCCTTCCCATTAGACCCTGAGCTCCCTGAAAACAGCAGAACAGTACTGGATTCCCTAACAGATGCTTAGGAAATATGCGCTGGATGAAGAATAGCCCTCCTGTCTGTCACTCCTGGGCAGCAATCTGTGTTTCATCAATCCCCGTGTAATATCTAGTGACTTATACTTTGATTCTCCCAAAGGGCTAAGATTTTGGTAATATTACATCATTGAGAAATAATACCAAGATGTAAAAATAGAATTAAGTTAAACTACTCATCCATCTAATTGTAGTAATAACTACCAAAGAATAAGAAATTTACTTATTGATTTGGGCTTTAAATCTGTTTTATTGGGGAAAATCACCCTTCCTAAAACTGCTATGGATGTATACTCTGTAACCCTCCTAGGCATGTTAAGTTATGGTCACAACTATAAACTAAACTCTGAGAAGCTAAATAACCATATGCTTGCCTAACTGGAATATGGTTTTCTTCACTTTTTAGCAAGAGAAATTCTAAATAACAAGGTGTCGCAAACGAGTCAGTTTATGGGTTCAAGCTTTTTGTTCATTGGTGAACAAACCATGCAAGGTGAATCAATCTCATTTTAAATTAATCAAACTGAAAGTTTTGAAAACTTTTCCATCTACATAGTCTTAATAGGCCAGATGGGTCTTGTTCTCAAACATGGTCATTTGGGAATTTATTAATATATACATGGACTAGTCTAGTAATTTATGTAATCTTGTTTCTTGCAGTCACTGGTGCCTATTCTGAGTGATAAAATTTGAACACAGACTTGCAGTGGTAACTTTTCCTGCACAACACACACAGCTCCAATAAGGTGGTACTCAGGCTAACTAGTGGTTGTTCTAAGGACAAAGTAAGTTTCTTGGTTTGTAAATTTGTTTTTTTTTTTTTTTCTTTTTGACTTTAACATACATAGTAAAAAAATGGGCATTTATCTATAGGACTGTGAAAGCAGAGTTTAAGGCTAAATTAAAGCCTGTGTCCATATTTTAGAGTGTGAGATTTAGACTTTTTCTACTAGGTAAAATTCTTCCTGAGCATTGATATATTCCCTCATATTAATGCTGCTTGTATGCATAGAGACCAAGCAGCTTTGAACAGGTTCAGCTTCTATATCAGTACACTAGAGTGACTGACAGCCTGTCAAATCTGTAGATATGTCAGATGAATTCAGCTAACTAAAGATGATAGAATTCCCAAATAAGTGTTTCTGGTGCTGTTAATAAAATTGGTAGCTTTTAGGTGTGGGGCATTCCAAGACATAAACAGTTGCTCTGATGCATTCCCACTCCACAGTGGACTGCTGTACTTCAGTCAGTCTGTGCAGATAGATAATCTGTGGTTCTAAGGTCTTATATAAGGTAGGCTAAGCTCCAATCTGCATCTTTGTGGAGGTCACTAGGTAGAGCCCTACACAAGTTCTTTATGTACCTTCAATACTTTGGTGAAAAATGGACATACAAAACGTGGAACTCATTTGTCCAGATGTCTACAAAGTATTTGGCTTTGTATTTCTGCATAACAATAACATCTTGACTATTTTTTAATGTGTGTGAATGCACACACAGAGTGCATGAAGGGCAGCTTGATGGGCTCAGTTCTCTCCTACCAAGAGTCCTGGCAATGGAAGGGTTGGTGGTAAGTGCTCTTACCTGCTGAGCCATCTTGCTGCCCCAGTTTCCTTTAATTAAATGAAGGTATTCACATGTAAATGGAGTCCAAGAGTCTTGATCTAGGAGTTGAGACTGCTCAGAGCTGCTTAGCTGTAAGGAGGCTGTAGCTGTCAGCAGACAGTGCTGTGGGATGGACTGCAGCAGTCCTGCCTGGTAACAGCAGTGTGTTTGCAGAACGATGTGGCTCCTATTCTCTGCAGCTTTTGCTCTGATACATTTCCATTATTTCCACTGTGGGCCTGTAAATGTAACTGGACTTTATTTTTAGTGCAAGGTCATGCAATTATAGGAATTTTTCTCCTGAAGAATATTAAAATAACCAGTTTTGAAGTAGGATTTAAGCAGTCTGTGTGTATATGTATGTATACAAACACACACACATTACGAAGTGAAATGAAACCAAGTCCAGACACTTAATTCTAAAAGTAATTTTAAAATAAATGTGTATTGCCATGGAATTCTGTGAACTTGTGGTAGGTAGTCTATATTGTTAGTCCACTATAAATGTGTAGTAACTAAATTCCAGTGAGATGAAATGTCTTGTCTTCTCTAGTAATGGAGAAAAGGGACATTAAAAAAATAGCATTAACATCAAATTATCAATGCAAAACTATTGTCTTTGCAATGAAATATGAAAATAGGCATAATGGTATACAACTCATGACTTTCATCCATATATGAAAGTAGGTACAGGTAAAGGCATATTATGTCTTCATGATTTTACAACTTTGATGACTCAGATTGTGATGAGAACTAAGCTCCACAAACAGCAATGTTAAATGATCCTGATAGTTAAAAAAAAAAGCAGGACATAAACTTTTTTTTTCTTTTTTAATATCTATATAAAAAATAACGAGCAATTTACAGATCTTTCTCTAATTGGAGACCCAAGTGTATATATATCTATATATATATATATATATATAAAGGTACTGTACATATATAAACATTTACAACCAGGACATCCATATTTTGCTCAGCATTCCAAGGCCACGTGGCTAAGTCATGTTTGCAGACTGTATATAAATCAGTACAGTGACAGGTTACTTAAGGAAGAGCCACATCAGAATGACAACATATGACATCAAAGTTATGTCACAATTAACAATAAAAATAGGATTTGTATCACTAATTGTGGACTATAGGGAAAATAAATCATTTCTGTGGTACTAAATTCTTAGCATTTATCAAGCCTCCTAATTTTGCTCTATTCAAGTAGTTATAATAGATGGGTTAAATATAGTTCTGGGTGGAAGCATGTGTTACCTACAGGGGCCAGTACAGTTGGTCACAGTGGAGTTTGTCAGACTCACAGGGTAACAGAATGATTGCTCAAATACTCCCTAAGTAGACAATTTTGGTCTGAGAATTGTGTCTGTGTTTATAGATGCTTCTGAATGCTGTTTCAAGGAACCAAACGAACATCCCAATCTATTATATGAGGTTAAAACTTGTCTTCAACTTTCAGCAAACATTTTTCTTCTTAGACTTTAGAAAATAACTCTGAAATCTTTTCCTGTTTTTAAATAGTTAGCTAAAAATTAAAGTTCCAACACATGTGGTCTATAGCATATTAGTCCTGACTTGCTGGGAAAGCCGAATGCAAGCACTGCTTCTAAATCCCTAAAACTCCTGCATCGGTCCCAGATAAACTTCTTTCTCTATGCCACAGGAGCTGGTGCTTTATCTGACAGTGGATTGTAGAACTGACATGATTAAGTCCCTCACAAAAATATCAATTATGTATTAAAGACTAATGATTAATAATCAAAATATCCAGATAGTAGCTTTTCTTGGAAGAGAAACAAATGGTACTTCCACAAGCTCCTGCACTTCTCTTCCTACGACAGGTGATCTGAGACACCGTAGCTACATTAGGGTTGGCTACTGGCAGGAGTTTGTTCATTCTGCTGGTTAGTACTTCCTCATTTTGAGCATTCAATTGTAAGGACTATCTTTAACAGTTACTTGAAACACCTTACTTAGCCATAAAAAAAGCATCTTTAATATTTGATTTTTCCTGTAATGTAGTGATCTTTCTGAGTTGCATTTTTAAACTAGGATGGTCAGAAGCTATGAAAATCGGCAAGTGCCAACTTTAATGATGAGCTAACAATTTCTTCCTCTGCAAGGACTCAAATATTTCTCTCTGTAAGCATGCAACATGCTATTGGAAACATCTTCAAGCTAAACCGAACTGTTTCATGACTGGAAATATCAGAATGGGAATGATAAAACAGACATGATACAATAGGTAACTTGGCACGAATACAAAGTGAGTTGTAACCATACTGCTAAGATCATGTCATTGCTGAGCGGGCAGCCTGAGCAGGGCATGGCAGATGAGCCCATGGCTGCAGCTCCTTCCTGAATGTGAAGAAGGGCAGCCAGCCAGGGCCAGGTGGGTCTTAGGAATCCCAGAAGACTTTCATGCAGTCTGTCTAACTTGATGCTTCAATTAGGTATTGAAGACTATCTGGACACCTTTCCCCTTAAAAGAATGCTGTGTTTGAGTAAAAAATTACAACTTAATTTTCTTTGTATTATACAAAAGGTCATAGCTGTTTGTCAGCCATGCCAGCAGGGCCTATGATTTTATTTGCACGTGGCACTCTCCAGGGCCCTGGAGTGATGGGAGCTTTTTTGACTGGAGAGCTGTTTTCAGGTATGCCCCCTGCACGCTCCTTGCATCTGTCAGTGGCCTCTGGCTCTTTCCCTTTGTGATCTTCTGCTTTACCTAACGTCATCTTCTCTTCAGGTTCCTGCTTGAGCTTCTTTGCTGAGATCTGGACATTTTCTCCTGTGGTTGGCTTCTTTCCTTTTTCCTTCTCAGACACCGCCCTACTAGCAGTGTTGCTGATCTTTTTGGATGGAAGAGATGTTTCATCAACTTTATTGCTCTTTTTCTCTGGAGACCTTGTTCTGGTTTTTCCAAGTTGACTCTGCTTCAGATCTTTCCTGACAACACCCGATTTTTCTTTCCCATCTGGGAGCTGTTCAGTACTGTCACTAGTATGGCCTGCTGCCCTTTGGCTTTCAGTGTTTGACGGGCCAGTGCCTACAATCTTTTGCTGATTCTTGGGACTAGAAGATCGTCCTCTGCCTTTTCTGCAGGGATCTTGTCCAGAACCCGCCTTAGTGGTGATCTGACCTTTAGTCTCTCCTTTCCTAGGGCTGAGTGACCGATCTCTAGATTTTCCTTTGGGGTCACTTTTTAGGGGCCTGGGAATCTTTTCCAAATGTTCCTCTGAATGTTGATTAGCTGACTTTTTGGGACTAGCAGATCTCTCTCTTCGTGTGACACCATTTTCTCCTTTTAGTAGATTCTTCTCACCATGCCTTTGACTACTGGGTGGATCCTTCTTACTCACATTTTTCTGGAGAACGGTCTGATGCTTCATTTCAGGCTGGCTTCCACTGAAAGTGCTTTTCTTTTCTGGTACAGTGTCCTTTAGTTCTTCTGCCTTTTCACATATCTGAACTCTAATCAGAGAGTCTTCAGTTACTGGCATGTGAGACTCTTCAAATACGGAAGCAGAATGTGAAGATGGGAGAAGTGGTGGCTGTTCATCATAAATGACATTGGAAGATGAAGGACTATTAATATCCCAATCACCTAAAAAGTGATTGAGTAGAACACAGTTACACTCAAGAATTATGAATAGGAACAGTGAGTTTTGAACTTTGACAGCCATTTGAATATGTTACAGGTTGCATAGCCCAAGGAGGAATATGTTACATAACTTGTATATATTTAAGTCACTTTCTGTAAAGGCAGATGCTTATAGATATCTGCTTATGTATGAAGGGTAGATTGTTATAATAATTGTTTCACTTATGTACTGTTAGAGGTGATATATGAGCTGTAAATTATTCATAAAGCCAAATAAGATAGAAATAATAAAATTGGACCAAAGTACCTGGTCCAAGAAACTTACTAATTAATCTATTATTACTGTTTAACTTAAGGATATGCCAAAATCACTAGTGAAAAAAGACCAGACTGTGGTAACCCAAATGAGGTTTATGGGCACTGTAAATAATTTTCTTGTTAGGCTGTCAAATTTAATGTCAAAAGAAGACTGAAAAAGTGCAGAAGACAGAAGTAGATGTATTTAATAGCATCATTTTAATTAAAAAGAAAATGAAAGAAGTGATTTAAAAGACATGCAAATTTACCAAGTCTTTTTAAGGAAAGACCAAGAAAAGCCCTGAAAGCCTTAATGTTGCTCAGGCTTCACGTAGGAGCACAGACCGGAAGGAGCCAAACCTGAAGAAGGAAGAGAAAAAGCCTAGGACTATGTGAAAACAAACCAGCACAGTTAGCACAGATGTCATGGGAATGTGTGCTGTATGAGCAGATGGTGAAAGGTAACACAGCCAGAGAATCATAGCTGGAAGGGACCATAGGAGGTTATGTCTACATTTACTCTACAACAGCTCTGATGGGGAGCTATGCAGGGAGACACATATAAAACAGGTGTGGTACTGCCTTTAGTTCGGATCATGCATTCCCAAAGTGATTTTTAAAACACTGACAGTTCAAAATATATAATAAAGCCAAGGGCATTTACCATCAATACAGGAGTACAAACATGATCTTAGATTTAACTCCCTATCTCCAGGTAGTAGGGCTACAGCAACTTATTTTGATAAGTGACTAGAAAATCCTAAAGTTCTGGCATTCACTCATTGAGATAAGCTTACTTTAAGAAAATAATATTTATTGGCAAAGTGTAATTAGCAAAGGAGAAAAAAGCTGGGTTATTCTAAAGACATTTGTTTGTCTCTAATGTTCTCATATTTTATAGGCACATTTCTCTCCAAAAAGCACTATTTCAGATGAAATAAAGGTAACAAATGCTCTACTGCAACAATTATACTATTTGGAAACATCATTTGCATTATAGTAACTTTCTTAGGTGTTTCTGGTGTTCATTTCTAAATTAGCCAATAAAATGTCCATCTCTTCCAAAGGGGTATTCCCTTTCCTTCTGCCATCCCCTCCCCAGCAAGAATGCTTAGCTACTTTACTTACCATGGTCAGGTATCAAGCCAGTTCCTGGCCTCAACAGGAGTAGGACTTTATTTCCACCAGCCTGAATGAGCTCAATTGCTCGAGTATGTGTGATGCCTTGTGTAGGTTCCCCATTGATTTCCACAATCTGGTCACCAACCTGGACAAGAAACATTTACAACTGTATGAAACAGCAGGATTTTTCATTTCTACATTGTCAACAGAGCCCTTCAATTCTGCTAACTCACTCTTACTTGTAAAATCTTTAACCTGGACAGATAGCTAATAGGTGGACAGATGACAGCAATAAGGAGAGACAATGCATGATTTTATTTACTTTATAAAAATTCTACGTGGGAAAGTTTTATGTGGCTACCAGTCAGTATCTGAGCCTTAATCAAGAATCAAATTCTGATTTTCCCACATGTGTGAGGCCCTGAGACTGATTTCTAGTAAGGCAAAAGGAAGAAATTTAAAAAAATCTAGTTTTCTGCCAAAAGTTAAGACAGTAGAAAAAGTGACATTTCTATATTAACCTAAATACAGCACAGAGCAGCAACTAAATGACAATTTGTAAAGGGTGCTTTCAAACACAAGCTAATAATCTTGACTTGGTTTAGTAAAGCTGGGGCAGGTGATTGTTCATCACTAAAGCTTTCCTGAGAGATTGGCCATTCTTTGTATTGCCAGCTATCCTGTCCTGGTATGAGGCCTTAGCTAAGTGACTTATTTGGAGATTACAACTTATAAAGCTTTGAGAATACATTAGTATGAACACTTATTTAAACCAATTGCTGGATTGCATATAGTGACTTAAACATAAAGTTATTATCTTGGGAAACAAACAGAAAACTGGGACTAAGAGTATGATACCATAATGCTGGTGTCACTTACCAGAAGTGTTTGTTTGTTTGTTTGTTTGTTTATTTATTTATTTATTTATTTATTTTGGTTTTTCAAGACAGGGGTTCTCTGTTTAGCTTTGTAGCCTATCCTAGCACTCGCTCTGGAGACCAGGCTGGCCTCAAACTCACAGAGATCCGCCTGCCTCTGCCTCCCGAGTGCTGGGATTAAAGGCGTGCGCCACCAACACCCGGCTGAAGTGTATATTTTAAAAGAAAGTGAAAAAATACGGGGAAATTTAATAGTAAGGAACATGAGTAAAGATGTTGTGATTTTTTTTAAAGCTCTATATTAAGGTGACATGCAACTCAGGGTATTTATTAACTTTAAAATGAACAATGAGATATTATTGAAAATAAAAACCCAAATATTCCAAATATTTGTAAGATCATAAACAATCCACAAGTAATGTGACAGAAGAGATGCAGTAAGTATTTGATGGGCTGGAGAATGGCTCAGTAGTTTAGAGCACTGGCTGCTCTTCCAGAGGACATGGGTTCAATTCCTAGCACCCACATGGCAGCTCACAACCTCCTGTAACATCAGTTCCAGGGGATCTAATACCCTTTCTGGCCTCTGTGAGCCTGGCAAATACATACATACATGCAAAAAAAAAAAAAAAAAAAAAAAAACCTACAGATGCTGGGCAGTGGTAGCGCACACCTTTAATCCCAGCACTTGGGAGGCAGAGGCAGACAGAGGCCAGTCTGGTCTACAAAGCTACACAGAGAAACCCCGTCTTGAAAATCCAAACCAAAACAAACAAACAAACAAACAAACAAACAAAAAAACCCTACAGAAGCAGCCTGACCTGAGAGGAAGCTGGGGTCCAAGTATGTGGTTCCTATCATTCATAGTTTTAATTTTTTTTCTAGGTCAGTGGTCTCATTTTCTTCTCCTGTTAAATTAAAACTCCAGTCCTACCTAGTAGGCTTGTTGGAGAGTCAGTGCTTTGAGACATTACATACCAACTATAAGTGTCAGTTCTCAAGTTACTGTAAAATGCATTGGTATAAAGATTTGACTGTAAATTATACCCAATTCTACACAATAAAAACTATCACATAAACTATGAAACAGAAATAAAAGTGTTCTGATGCATATTTAGGAAGAGAAAAAGACGTTTTACTCTTGAACAAATAGAGGTGTGAAGGGTATCAGAAATATGACTGGCTGGTGGATTTAACTGACATTATGCTTTAAACATTGCCTAGAATTCACATGTTGGAAACCTAACCTCTTAAATCATATGTTAAGGTGTAACACAAAAGATAAAAGACCCAGAGACATATTGGGGTTTAAGCTTGAAGCTGAAGATCAGAGAAGGAAAGCAACCCCGTTGACAAGGCAGTCCTGTCTCCATGAATCCTCAGAGGCAAAAGGTTCTCAATTCTTGTCTCCTCCTCTTTATATATCCTTTTCTCTGCCCAGTCATATTCTCCTGTCTTTATCTCCCTAGTGCTGGGATTAAAGGTGTGTGATTTCAGGTGCTGAGATCACCTTTGTGAGCTGTTTCTTTAGGACTGGATCAATTTGGTGTAGTTAGTGTGGCCTTGAACTAACAGAGATCCGTTCACCTCTTAATCCTGAGTCCTGGGATTAAAGGTGTATGCCCTGGCTTCTGTGGCTAACTGATATGGCTGCTTTGCTGTTTTGATTTCCAGTGGCTTTAACAAACCATAAACAATATATCAACACATTGGGGTTCTGAAGAGTAGGAACTTGGGAGGCAATTAGATTATCAATGGGGAGTGGCTCTGTTTTAAAAGGGAACTCCCATTTCCTAGACATTCTGTCGTCCCCCCCCCCCCCATGCTGATTGCTTCAAAACTAGAGTCCACACCAGCAAGGGTATCTTAACCTGAGAGTTCACAGGCTCCAGAGATGTAAGAATTAGATTTATTCTCTACACATTCCCCAATTCCAGGTATTCAGTTACAGTAACAAGCAGAATAAGGTAAATACATAAAATGAAAAGAAACAAGTGAAGCAAGACAATAAATATTACAGAACATAAAGCAGTAAGAAAGGCAATTAAAATCCTTATTGTTCAGAATAAGTGGAACAAAAGCCATGATCTAAGCCCCTTTGATAAGTGATAAAAGAATTATTTTCTCAAGGAAGTACAGATAAAAGTAGCTCTGAATAAATAATTCCCACAATAAAGGAAAACCAGTGTGAACACGATTAGTTCATCTTAAGAGTGAGGTCACAGTTTCACATTTTGTCTTAAGCCACAAACCTGTATGTTTTAATATAAATGAAATCTAAATAAAACTTGTAATTGAACAGACTTGCCACCGGGTGTCATTTTAACTTTAAAATAAAAATGGGAAGGAAAGGGAAAGTGTGGCATTAGGTTTCCATTAGTCAGGACAGCAGGGTTGTGTATGAGGACTATTTAAAACCAACGGGCAAAACACTCCTGGGAGGACAGGTGAACATTTTTGCTGAGATTTTAAGTTACTACAAAGTGTCAATAAGATGATGAAACTATTTTTGATGAGCTGAACATTCAACTCCAGTTTTGTATTACTGAAAAATCATGAGAAAGGAAAGGAGAGAGAAATGAAAGGCAGACAAAAGAAGTAAAGAAAAAGACGTTTTTGTAGGCCAAGCAACTCTGGTGGTCAATTAAAGCTAGCCTTAGCAAAACAGTGAGGCCTTAAAACTTTAAAAACAAAACAAACCCCCAAAACAAAGACAAGGAAAAAAAAAAAAAGAAAAGACAGAGGAAAGAATGTTTTGCAGTTGTGGCTGCAAAGACTCAGAGGTTAAGAGTGCTAGTTTCCAGCACACAACCACCTGTAACTCCAGTCCCAGAGGATCTGACACCCTCTTGTGGCCTCTGAGGGTACTGAATGCACCCCCCCCCACATCAAATATTAACTATTTAGAAAATCACTGTCTTTTAAAGCAGCATGTATATTACATTATCTTATGACCTGTTAAGAAATTATATGCCTCCTGAGGAAATCCAATCCAGGTAATCTCAGCAAGGAGCTTGACCTTCCTGAGCCTCAGATTTAAGTCTCTAAGTGTAGGTATTGCCACTTACCTCATGGACCAACAGCAGCATAAGTGACAATACACGTTGCTTGGAAGACAGACACTGAGACTCTGAATCTGACTTCCTTGCTTGCAGTGCCAGGGGTGGAAACCTAGACCTCAGGTATGCTAAGCACACACTGAACCATACCCCAGGACTTAAGGGCCAGTTTCAGACTCAGGCAATTTCCAGATCCTCTGCTGACACACAGTGCCTTCTGACCTATAAGATAACACTCAAGGATTTCTGAATTACACTAGTACATTGTTGCTGTACCACTAATCCTGTTTACCCAGTAATAACAGCTGAGGACAAATCTTAATTTTCTAAAAATTCCAATATTTAGGAGCTGGTGAAGTAGATCAGTGGGTAAAAGTATTTGCTGCCAAGACTGACAGACAAGGGGTCCGCCTGGTGGAACGCTAGCACTAATACTCAAAGCTGTACTCTGACATGCACCTTGGCATGCATGCCCTCACACATGTACCCCCCCCACACACGTCCACACATTAAGTAATTTAAAGATTAGTTATCTAGATTTATCCATCCATTCTACCCTCTTGTTATCTATGAACATCTATAAAATATAATCTTAATTAAAAAACTCACCTAGAGCATCCTTTTGAAAAACATGAATTACCCACTGAATATTCAAGGCATTGTATGAAGTAAAGATACAGGGATTAAAAGGTACAGAGTACAAACTTGAACTGCTGATCTGAGACCAGTAAGGGAAGAGGGAGACAGGAAGGTGGAAACCCTCCCATGGCATCATGGAGAGTGTCAGCTAAGAAGACCTCTCTGAAAACTGACATTTTCTTATTAGAACAGATCTGAATCTAGCAGTTAATAGTCTACTTGCTTTTGTTTTCAAAATCTAGACTTTGTTTTTAAAATAAAAGTAGGTTCAGTCATGGGACTAAGTTTCTGATGTACTTTAGAATTATACATTACCTGTCTTTAGGCCTGTTTGGCTTTCATTTGTATGATGGAATTAGTAGATCTCCCAGCACCCGGGAGGCAGAGGCAGGCAGATCTCTGAATTTGAGGCCAGCCTGGTCTCCAGAGCGAGTTCCAGGACAGCCAGGGCTACACATGGAAACCCTGTCTCAAAAAAAAAAAAATAAGAAAGAAAGAAAGAAAGAAAGAAAGAAAGAAAGAAAGAAAGGAAGGAAGGAAGGAAGGAAGGAATGTGAAACACCTTAACAGCAGAGAAGAGGTAAAGGGGGGAGAGGATCAAGAGAGTTCTAAAGCATGGCACAATGGATCCTAAAAAGAGGCTCAAAAAGAAGCTGCTTAAGGCTACATGGCTACAAAATGGTAGGAAAAAAAAGTGTTTGATTTGCATCTTCCTCAATTCTCAAACCTGAGCTCTTTTCACTGCACTGAACTATGTGAGAAAGCAAGCAGGCTGGACCCAACAACTCTTGATCAGCTGCTCCCAATGACATTTAGCCTTTCTCCTCATAAACCCTCTGGCTCTGGTATGTGGTTTTACATTTCTACCCTTTCTGCTTGCTTTACTTTTTCTTGTGCAGTAATTGTAGGCCCCTCTCAGAGTTCTGCCCGTGGCCTGCTGCTCCCTAAATTTTGAGTGACTTAATCTACCACAAAGCTTTGCTCATCACTTCTGTCTGGGTCCTGTCACTCTCCAAGGCCTGCGAAATACATGCTAACTGGTACCTCTACTTCAATATAATAAAAAAATTACGGCAGCTAGCTGCCAAATTCTTTCTCACCTGAGCCTATCTTCTTTCTTTTTTCTTTTTGTCATACAGGCAAGAGGACATCCCTGAGACCTCTTTTGTCTTTGTCCTTTGTCTCTCATTCACTGATCAGATACTTAGGAGTCATCTAAACTGGGCCTTCCTTCCCTGGAAGGTAACCTCATCTATTTTACCTCATATTCAAAGGGTTAGCACTCAAGTTCTCCTCATACCACCACTCCATGAAATAGTGACAGCAACCTCTCTCCTCCATCCATCTATCTGCACACTGCATGTAGACACATCTTAGCAGCATGCTTTTCTGAAAAAAAAAAATTGGCTCAAAAGCCAACAGTGACTTTCCACTTCCCAGAACCTCCATACTGATAACCCACCCTCCTTTCATCACTTCATTTCTCTCCACGCCTCTGTACACATGCTAAATAACTACATCACTCAGCCACACAGACTTCCCTGTTGTGTGGTACCATTCATTTCACCCCATTGTTAATTCTTCAACTCGGAGAGCTGCTCAGCCTCTTCCTGAATTGTACTTATCTTAAAGCACCAGTCACTTTCTCTGACCTTGTACATATGCCTGGTCATTCTGCGGAAGGATTTGTATCATCCTCTCACCAATTCATTTAACACCATGCATAAAGTCTTGGTTAAGGCAAATACTCAAAACTGGTTTTGAAACAAATGATGGATATGAAGCAGTAATGTGGAAAATGAAAAGCTGCAATCACCCAGAAGCCATTTTTGTTTCTGAGACGAGGTCTACTCATGTAGCCGATGCTGGCATCAAACTTGCTGTGGTAGCTGAGAATGACCTTGAACTCATGACCCTTCTGTCTATACTTGGCAAGTGTGAAATTACTCAGTTTTTATGTGGTATTAGGGATTGAACCCAAGTCTATACTAAGCAAACACACTACCAACTGAGCTACTCTGATTGTTAGACTTAAGAATAATTTTGTCTTACTATTTGCTCAGTTAAAAAGATTCTTTTGCCCTGATGCCTGATGACAGATAGAGGAAACCCAAAGTTCTCTTATAAGAGAACTAAATGTCTAGAACTTAAAATTTTAGTGATAATTAGTGAATTAACTAGTTTTAAAAAATTAAGCCCCAAAATTATTAAAATTCTTCTTTAACATCCAGAGGAGGAGAAAAACAAAACAAAACAAAAAGCAGTTATATAAGCCATTTAGTGCCCCACACAATGGTTTTACAGGGTTGAGAAAGCCTATGATAGAATAGTACAGATGTGAATTCTGGTCTCTCTAATAATCATAAAGTTTGGCAAGGCTGGGATTTTTGGCTTCTATAGGGAACTAAGTGGAAAAAATTTCCTGGGCTTATTATGTCTTGGAAGAAATTGGGGAGTCTTTTTTTTTTATTCTGTTGTCCTCAAGACTTTTAATAAGATGGAAGTGTATTTGATTTATGAATCCATCTGCCCTGTATGCTGACTGTACAAGAACTAATTTCTCTTACATACACAAAGAAACCATCAATCTGTGAAACCCTGGGTGGCTAGAAAAGCACAGCAGCAGCATGTGGCTGCTTTCAGGTAAAACCCATTTCTTAGATGCAGGAGGTTTCTGCATTCTCTCTAAAGCAATTAGTTTTAGAAGCTTCTAGTCTAGAGCCAGAAGCAAAGGTTGCAAATGGAAGCCGACTCACGTGAATTCTGCCGTCTTTGATGGCAGGGCCATCCTCAGCGAGGCGAAGGATGAACAGCCCCATATTGTACTCCTTCCCTCCTCGAAGGCTGAACCCAAAGCCTCGAGGGCCCCTTTCCAGCTCCACTGGGTAACAGCCAAGGCCCTGAAGGAAAGAAGCATGACCGAACGTTGTTATGCACTGCTTTCACTACATCTTGAAGAGAATTTGCTTTTATGGGTAAGAGAAATGATATATGTTCTTGGAATGCATTTCTGTGTTGTCAGGAAGGAATGCTAGTTTGAGCTGCTGCTTAAGTTTTATAAGTTCAAATTAAATTCATTTGAAGATTATGTGGTCTTCTAGTTGGTCAATGTATAATATGACAATTAGAGAACAGAATTTTTAAAATTGTAATCAAAAATTAACTTCAAGAAGATTTTTATAAATTTCCCTGAAAAATAAGCTCCCTCCTTTTTTTTTTTTGTTTTTTGTTTTTTGTTTTTTGTTTTGTTTTTCGAGACAGGGTTTCTCTGTGCTACTTTGGAGCCTGTCCTGGAACTCTGTAAACCAGGCTGGTCTTGAACTCACAGATACGAATCTGCCTCTGCCTTGCCAGTGCTGGGATTAAAGGCGTGCACCACCAACACCTGGCTAAAAGCTCCCCTCCCTCCTTTAATTAGCTACAATACTGTGCACTTGTACATATTCAGCCTAGGTTCAAATTTCTCCCTTTACAGGGTAAATTTTTATCTCCACACCCTCTTGTATGGCAGGATGAATTCTAACCCTATTAGCAGCTGTGTAAAAATTAGTAATTTTGGAAGCAAATGTATCCAAACAGATTTGCAATAAAAACACCAATGTGATACAGCAATCCAAAAACCCGAGTACCTGATTGTGCCGACTTCCCACAACTGAAATCACTGCAGTGTCAGACTGGGCGACATGCTTATGGTCAGACCACGAATGTCTGTAGGAACTGCAGATCTCTTTCCCAATTTCACCTTCTAGGGCAATTCTGTGGGAGAAACCAAGTCATGTTCTGCACCAAGAAAATGAAAAACAGTCTAAAAGGAAAAGAAGATTAATATCTCTTCTCAAAGCTGAGCCTTGACATCCTCCATCCTCACAAGATGCTGTAGACAGACTATCTCTAGAGCCAGAACTGCTAGAAAAAAAGACTGCTCATTCTCTCTAGAGCAGCTTAAAGTCTGTGAACATTATCCCCACTTCCTTCAGTGGTGTCTTGATGGAGTTGCTCTCAAAGCTGCACTCAAAATAACCAAATGTGGAGCAGATATGGTAACCCTGTTGCCATGAGAAATGGACCTCTTGAAGCTCCAAGACCTGGGGAGATGCTGAATTTCTGGAAACCTAGTTTTTCTTTTATGACTAGTACTTGTAATAACAGGAAAGAAATATGTACAAATTACTGCCCAAGTGTCAGGCAGTGCAAGAAGACTAATTCAGGTGGGGCTAGGCCTTCCCCTATTGAAGCGATTACCAAGAGAAGCAGAGTCAGTTGCTGGTGTCAGGCTGACTCACTCACTGTGCTGTGCCTGGGATGGAGGCTGGGAAGAGGGGTGAACAGCACTATGAAGCACTGTGAAGGTGAAATACACAACAGTTTTCTTTCTGACTTGGCTTTCTGGCTTATGCATTACTGCCTGGTAGTGGGACAGTGAAAAGCAGGAAGATGAGAAAAAAACCCAAAACCTGAGAATAGCCACACCTGTCCCCAGGTATGTGATTGGCCTGTGCCTGTCCCATGGGCCTGTGCTGCAGCGCTGGGCTTTGCCTGGCTGAGTTTGTTCCTGATGGTGGACCATGATGCTCTGTTCAAATGAGAAAACAACAGAAATCAGAAAATATGAAGACCAAGTTGATCTTTAAGTAAACAATAATAATGGTTACAGGTTCCCATCTTTAGGGTTTTCACAGAACTGTACTGTTATGCCCTGGAGTTGAAACAGTAATGTCTTTCCTCCACTGGCTTTAAGTAACATGTTTCAAGAGAATAGGAGCCATTTCTTATTCCTATTTTCACCCCTGTCTGTCTCTTCCATACTATGAAAATCAGCACACATTCAACCATATCTGTGTAGACGACAGAGCTCCGGGAGCTACTGTTCAGCCCATTCTCTAAGTTTTCAGAGCACTTTTTTTTTTGTTGTTCCTGACAGTGCTAAGTCTCAGGATGCTGGAGCACAGAGGCTGCTCTGCAAACTATACACATCTTGGAACTTGCATTTTAAAATAGGAAATTATTCTACCTGACACTGAGAATCAAAGATCACAAAGTCACCTAGAGTTTTGAAAGAAATGTTTATAAAGAGTTCCTGGTTCCTGGTTCCTGTTTCCTTCCTTCCTTCCTTCCTTCCTTCCTTCCTTCCTTCCTTCCTTCTTTCCTTTCCTCTTCTCCTCTTCTTTTTCTTTCTTTTCTTTCTCTTCCCTCCCTCCCTCCTCTCCTCACACTTCAGAGTGCATGATGGCAGGGAGACAACAGACATGGTAGCAACAGCATGGAGCTGAGAGCGGTTCTTGTTTTCTAAGAGCACAAATGAGAGAGAGAGAGAGAGAGAGAGAGAGAGAGAGAGAGAGAGAGAGAGAGAGAAAAAAGAGGAGAGAGCGGAAGGAGAGAGGGAGGAGAGAGAGGAGAGAGAGGAGAGAGAAGAAAGAGAAGAAAGAAGAGAGAGAGAAGTATTTGTGTCCCTGTCATTCTTAATCGTTTGGAAGACTGACTGCAGAGCCAACCAAGGCTTACATCCAAAACTAGATGGATGTTCTGGGAGATGACACTCAAAAGGGAATCTTTATCTTTATTGTCTTCTTCATCATTATTAGCAGCAAAATGATGTCTCACCTGGAATTGCATTCTCTTCAAGTATATATTTAGAAACAATTATCTAAAAATGTTCAATATGGAGGCTGTTTTAGATTAGATCAACATAAACTGATAAATGAAGTTTGGAGTATAATGGAGATAAAACCTGATGTTATAAGGGATGGAAATGGTAGGAAAATTTATATGCAGGAGTAGAAACTTCAGGCTTTATAAGTCACTATTCTTGGATTCTATTTCTATAACTTGAATTGTTTCCCTTCAAAGCTGTATTTAAGAATGTCTCATGCTGGGCAATGGTGGCTCACACCTTTAATCTGATCACTCAAGAAGCAGAGGCAGGAAGATCTCTGAGTTCAGGGCCCCTGGTTTACAGAGTGAGTTCCAGAACAGCCAGGGCTACACAGAGAAAGCCTGTCTCAAACAAAACAAAACAAAAGAATGTCTTGCAACTAGAAGTTAAGAATACTCCTAAAAGAACAGGCAAGAAGGTAAGTGAAGACAGAAAGGGAACATGGTGAAGTCTGGGCTGCAGCAATTCTACTCCTGCTTTGCTGTGGGGCTTGTGCTGACACAGCCCACTAAGTGTGGATGAATGGGACCAAGTCTTGGAGCAGGCCTTGACTTCAAAGGCAAGTACCCCAAGAGGGAAAATGGAGAGGAGTAGGCTATCAACCTCTTTCTTTGTATTGAATGTGCTTCTTTTTTATAGTGCAGTAGCCACAAAATTTAATGGGTTTAATGGGTTGCAATTGGACCTCCTAAATTTTTCAAAATATGAAAAAAAATTATTTAGCTTTTGAGACAAGATGTCATGTAGCACAGGCTACGCTTGAAATTGCTATGTAGTGGAGGGTGACCTTGAACTTTGACCTCCAGTGTTCACCTCCTGAGTTCTGAGATCCTATACCCAGTTTATGTGGTACTGAATTTGAACCCAGGATTTACGCAAGCTAGGCAAGCATTCTGTCAACTGAACTACATTCCCAGCATTTTAAAATTCTTTTCTTTTTTCTCTTTTAATTTTTAGTTTATTTTTTTTACTTTTTGAGATTATAATTACAGTTCTTCCTTCCCTTCAATATATATGCCTCCTTATTCTTTCACCTTCTTTTTCTTTCTTATTACATGCATGTATTATATGTTTATACCTATATGGCTCTCTAATTGGATGTAAGAGCCATTCAACAAGAGGGAAACCATAAATCTTACTGAAAACCTAGCTAAGTACTCAGTGCTAGTGAAGTTATGGTTATTGGAGGAGAATCTACATCCACTAATTAATAAAAGAACATAATCCCTAACAATAATCAAAACATTTGTCCTTAAACCTACAGATAAGGAAACTTCTTTGCCACAGATGGAGACTACTACAGAAAACAACAACCAATCAAAATGCAGAACTGTGGAACCCAGTCAGTGAATGCATCTACAGAACACTCCTGCACCAAAGGCTCAGGAAAAGGGGTAGAAAGTTTGTAAAAGCCAGAGGATCAGAGTTTGCTGTGAGATTGTGTCTCCTAGGAATGTCATAAGCTACACCCATAACGTCTTACCAGAGTGACTGCCCAAATGTGAGCTGAACAAGGATGACAGCAGTGTGCCGAAGTGGACTGGGGAAAAGCTAATGAGGCCTCAACCCTACACAAAGATCTATAAGCAACTGAGATTCTGGAAGAGGGAACAATAGTCTTCCCCAGGGAGAGTATACCCAGCGGTCAGCTCTGAAAACATACATACAAGTAACATTATACAGACTAAGCACGTTATATCTAATATAACTTGTTTGTCTTGTCATCAATTTGGACTTCCCTTGGCTCCTGGGCCTCTAGTTTTAATATAAACAATGAAACAGAAACAGGCCAACTATCTTGCTTTAAGTCTTAAGGTAAACTTTTTGTCATGTATGAGACACTAACCAAGTTTGTCCCTGGACACAAGCCTTTATAGTTCATCTCTTATTCAAAGTATTACTTTGTGAAATCCTTCTGGCTCCATATGCATACTGATCAGAGTGTTTCTACAATGTTGACCACACTGTGTGAGAGGTGGATAAACACCTTTCCTGTTAGATTATGATCTCTTTGATTATAGGAATCACACCCCTATCTTTGTATTCCTGTCCCCTCTGGAAATTTCTGTCAGTCCTTCTACTTTTCCTTACTGGGTATGCCACTTTCTACTTACCTGTCTCTAAACTTGAGAGCCCTTTATAGAGCTGAAATAAATCTCTTCTTGTCATTATAAATTCATAGTTTCTATCTGGGGGGTGAAAACTGATGGGAAAATTATATCTATCAGCATGATGACAGGGAGATACTTATATCTTTATAAGAGTCCAACACAGGTGTGAGAATTTTTTTTCTATTACAGATAGTTAATCTGACAAGGACCCTTATTTTCTGAACCCCTCTTCTTTTGTGTTAAGTAGACAATTATGTCAGATTGGAAAGTCAAGCTCCCACCAATAGGATGAGATGCAGTTACCACCTATATCAGGGTAAAAGGCCACTTTTGGCTAGTGTGCATGTTAGGATAGTTTGGATTTTGGTGGGTGCTTTTTGCAAAAAAATTGCCTTGCTGAATTATTTTTGCTTTGTTTGTGTGTCCCTTTTGTGAGACAATGAGAATATTCTTTTCCCATATAGATGCATTTTTGTCTTTCCTAATTTCATGAGTGATGATTATATAACATCAGAATGGGGCAGTCTATTAAACAAGCTGACCATTTTCAAATTTTCTTCCATCTTTTCTTTTTCTTCCAGAGACACAGTGTTTATCATCCTGGCTGTCCTAGAACTCTTTCTTTAGACAAGGCTGGCCTCCAACTTAGAGAGATCCACCTGTGCCTCCTGAGTGCTGGGATTAAAGGCATGTACCACCAGCACCAAAATGTACCATTAAGTTGGTGTTTCTTTTTAAATATGGTGCTGGGGTTAAATCTAGGGTCTCATGTATGCTAGGCATGTCCTCTACCACTCAGCTGTGTTTGCAGCCCTGGTGCTCACATTTTAATTTACATAGTTTTTATTGTCTTCATCGGAGTTATGTGAAATTTTCTACTACACATAATCTTCCACCCACATATGCTAGATGACTTCTTAATGTTTTATTATGAATTAGAAGCTATTCTATGTCTCAGCCTTAAATGTTCATTCCATGATGTCAAACAGGCCCATGTTCTCTTTGAATTTTGTCTAAAAATTTCCCAAGTAGTAAATAAATGGATTAAGTATGTCTTTCTTCCAATAAGTATTAAGACTTTTGCTAGAGTTTCTATAAGTACCAAAGAAAAACTATACTGTCAGACACTAAATAGAAAACGCACAATTAAACTATAGCAGCCAGTATTACGGTGGGTTCAGAGAATGTTCTCAAATGTTTTTTTTAAATTTTATTTATTTATTATGTATACAACATTCTGCTTCCATGGATATCTGCACACCAGAAGAGGGCACCAGATCTCATAATGGATGGTTGTGAGCCACCATGTGGTTGCTGGGAATTGAACTCGGGACCTCTGGAAGAGCAGTCAGTGCTCTTAACCTCTGAGCCATCTCTCCAGCCCCTCTCAAATGTTTTATAGAAACATAAAAGATAATCTGAAAAACTAAAGAGCTCTCCCACTCTGTTAGGTGGAATAACAATATTTAATCATCTAAATTATCTCAAAGCTAGTATGTATATTTTAAAATATATTTTAGTAAAAGTGATTTTTTGAGAATCTTAATTATTTGCTAAAAGATTTTATATAGGAATGTCCTTTGAATATTGTAATATTTTTGAATAGGTATGACCCCTATGGTAGTTTGAATGTATTTGGTCCCCCTAAGCTCACAGGGAGTAGCACTATTAGGAGGTGTGGCCTTGTTGGAGGAGGCTGGGTGACAAACACTTTTAAACCAGACATTGAAGTTGGAAAGCACATCTTTAATCTGGGTCACACCTTCTGTTGGAAGTGTGTCACTGTGGGGATGGGCTTTGAGGTCTTTTTCTCAAGCTTCACTCAGTGTTGACAGTTAACTTCCTGCTGCCTTCTGGTCAAGATGTAGCCAGCACCACATCTGCCTGCATGCTGCCATGCTCCCCATCATGATGTTAATGAATTGAACCTCTGAAACTGTAAGCCATCACTTCAATTGAATGTTTTTGTATTTTGTAAGAGTTGCTGTGGTCATGGTGTCTCTTCACAACAATAGTAAAATCTAACTAAGACAGCCCCCAGACTCATTTGTTTGAATGCTTCGCCCATAGGGAGTGGCACTATTAGGAGTTGTGGCCTTGGAGTAGGTGTGGCTTTGTTGGATGAAGTGTGTCCCTGTGGAAGTGTGCTTTGATGACTTATGTGCTCAAGCTACAACCAGTGTGGCACACAGTCTACTTCCTGTTGCCTGGGATCAAGACAAAGAATAGAACTCTCAGCTACCTCTCCGCCACATCTGCTTGGATGCTGCTATGCTTTACTGCCATGATAATAATGGACTAAACCTCTGAACTCTAAGCCTGCACCAATTAAATGTTTTCCTTTCTAAGAGTTGCTGTGAAGAAAAAAAAAGAGTTGCTATGGTCATGGTGTCTGACTCTTCGAAGCAATAAAACCCTAAGACAAATATCTAGTTTACTTGAGGAAGAGAAAGGTTGCTTTGCCCTATCAGATATACAGGGCAACAAATTTGATGTCATTCCAGTATACATTCTTGGTAGCAGTGGTAATTTATGTTCACTCTTAAACAGGACTTGACACAACATTAGGAATCAATTTTGGGGGAAAAGTTTTCTATATAGTAAGCAGAAACTACCAGGCACAGCCAATTTCTATACCAACCTTAAGACCAAATTAGTGTAGAGGCCGAGGTGCTGGAGGCAATGGAAGGGGTGTACACAGGTCCAAGTCATGGCTATTGACAGTTTGCTATATGACACATGGCACTCGCCTTGTCACTTCTTTGGTAAAGTAGGCACAGATATTAAATAACACCTTGCAAAGGGAAGATGAAAGGATGGAGGAGACACAATGTCCTTCTAGGTAACAACCCTTTCCTACTTGGAGTGAAGGGTTTGGGGTAAGCAGGAGACAGGTATCAGATAGGAGGCCATGTAGCCTGGAGGAATGATGTGAAAACAGTTTCTGAAAACAGCTTGCAGTCCCTAGCACTTAGTGCCACTGCACACACAACTCTGCAATGCTATTCTGTGGCACTGACTTTTGCTTTACAATTTGAGTCACAAATGTTATGGAAAGAAGATTCGTGAATAAATACTAACCACAGTACCTTGGACAGAAAGATTTATATAATACCTTAAAGGTAAAAACTTGAGAGTAGTCCAGTAAGAACAAAAAAGCAAGGCAATCATGAGAAATGCACCTGGGAGTGGTGGCATGACTAAAGTTCTAGTTCTAGGAAACTGAGTCGGGAGGGTCACTGGACACCAGGAGTCTGAGACCAGACCAGACAACACAGCAAGATGCTGTGGGGGTGGGGGTTACAAAACACCTGGAAATTGACCTTAGGATCACAGGGGAAAACTGGAACATAAATAAAAGTATGGGAACCCCTAATTGCTATCTCTCTTCTCTTGACAGTACTGGGATCCAACCCAGGGTCTTATCATATTAGGCAAGAGTTCCACCCCTGGGCCACATTCCCAAGGTCTGAGGAAATTTTATATGAAAGATGGACCTTCATAACTCTGCTTTTTTATTCCCCTCATTAACACTACAAAATCAAGCAAGTGAGATGAGCATTACATAGTGGTTACTTAGTAATTCATAAAGAACGCAGACTGGTTCAAAATGGTTCCTAAGGAGAAATGCCTAATGACTGAAAGGCAGCTTTAGAGCAAGGCCAGATAGTATTTTAGACCACCAGTATGTGTTCTGTGCCCTATTTAGGAGCCACTCCTACACGATCCATCAGTCCTGTTCACACAGCAGCTGCCCAGAACAAAGCTCTGCTTCTAAGGAGGGCACACCATGGCATGGACCTGACATCAACAGCAATTCCCTCTGAACACTTTAAAGGGTCCTTTCACTCAAGTCAAGACTTAAGACATTAATTAAGAAAAGATCTGAGCGGTATTATCAATTTTCACTTCTAGATGCTTGCTTCTTCAGCACATAAATGAATGGCCACCACACACTAACTTACTTTTCTTGAGTAGTTAACAACTTTATAACAAACTGTCTTGTAAGATATGAAATGAAAAAGGCAAAGAATGAGACTATAGGGCATATAAACACCTCTCACACTCTGTGCTTGTACTGTGTGGTGGTTTGCATGAAGGTGGCTCCCACAGGCTCATATGCTTGAATGGTTGGTCCCTAGTTAATGGAACTATTTGGGCAGAATTGGAAGGAGTGGGTTTGCTGGAGTAGGTGTGACCTTATTTGAGCTTTCAAACCCCATACCAGGCCCATTCTTTGCCTGCAACATATATATCAGGTGTAAGCCCTCAGCTTACTGCTCTACTGCCTGCCTGCCTGCCTCTGTGCTTCCCTATAACATGTTCCTAGGCAAGCTCTCAAATAAATGCTTCCTTTTATAAGTTGCCTTGGTCATGGTGTCTGTTCACAGTAATAGAACAGTAACTGAGACATCAGCTTGGGGAAGGCAGGGTGGCCACTTCCTCACCTTCTTCAGCAATGACTGTAAGTGTGACAGTGACTCCGGCATCTTTGATCAGCTGAACGATATTATCATGAGACAGGTCAACGATGGACTGCCCATTCACTGCAGAGATGTGATCTCCAACTTTAAGTTTTCCACAACGATCAGCAGGACTTCCCTCTATGACTCGGCCAATTTTATGAGGAATAACTGTGGGAAGAACCCCAGGTTTTCCAATTATTTAAGATACTTGCTAGTGATGGACTTGTCATCATCATTATTTAAGTATCATTATCCTGTCCAAATCACCTCCCACTGACCACACCCATTTACTAGAAACCTTTTTTCATTGTTTTCTTTTTCCTTTTTTGCTTTGTTTTTGTTTTTTTGGTTGCTGTTTTTTTCGAAAGCAACTGACTTTATTGACCTAAAAAGCTTTACTAGGACAGTGACTGTTCTGGAAAGAGAGAAAAGAGAGAAAAGAGAGGGGAAGAGAGGAGGAGGGAGAGGGGTAGGGGTATGGGGAGAGGGAGGGGAGGGAGAGAGAGAGAGAGGGAGAGAGAGAGAGAGAGAGAGAGAGAAAGAACACTCCTGGTCTCCTTGGAGTTCAGAAGAGGGCGTCAGATCTCCTGGAACTAGAATTACAGATGACTGTATGGCGCCATGTAGGTGCTGGGAAGAGAACCAGGATCCTCAAGTGCTCTCTCTTAACCTTTGAGCCATCTTCACAGCCCCTCTTTCACCTTTCTTAAAGCACAAGGTCAAATATCACACAGGACTCGTTAAAGCCTCTTTCTTCCAGCTTGCTCCAGGAATCATCAATCTTCCACCAAACTCTTGCTGGTTTTCCTCCTGGTGTTCTTGGGAGGTCTGTATCTTATCAGACGTAGTCTGTAGCTCTCACTCCAGTATGCGCTCTTCCTGTTACTCAGCTGTTCCCACCTACATCTTTTTCCTCTTTTTATAACAGGATCCTCATTTTCTTAGCTAAGGGCCACTATTGGCTATGAGGACTATATCAGTTTTTTAAAAAGAAACTTATTTTAGAAATAAGATCCCCTGGCTTTGCTGGAAGGGCAGTGACTCCAAATGCAAGTCCAATTTTATGCATAGGACTTGGTAATTGGTTAGAAAACCAGGTACAATGAAATAAATGACCGACCTCTAAAATGAATCATATTTTTACATAAAAATTAATTTGTGGGCTGGGAAGAAGACTCAGTTAGTAGAATACTTGCTTTGCAAATATGAGGATTGCAGTTCAATCCCCAGAATCTACACACAAGTGGGCATAGGGGTACATGACTATAATCCCAGTCCTCAGGTAGGATCCTAGGACTAGCTGGCCAGCCAGCCTAGTTTAACTGGTGATCTCCAGGCCAATGGGAGACCCTGTCTGAAAAAGAAGTGAGTTGTCCTCCAGCTCCCACACACACATGCCCACATGTATACATACATAGGCATCCTATCAACACACATACACACTGGCATAAAATTAATCTGTGTCAGAATCATCTTAAAATTCAAACATTGTAAGATGAGACTAGAGGCTGCTCCGACTATTTGGCTTTCCTCATTGCACAAAGCTATGACTACCACACAGACAGACAAGCAGTGCAGCTCTATTGAAGTTCTGGCTTAGTGTATAAGGTTGCCTTCCAGACAGACAGGGGGTGGGGCAAAATGCTGTCACAGCTTATGACAAGTCCCCAGGCATTCAGGTCATCTTGTCAAAAAAGGTATTATCCAGTGTGCAATAAATGGTATTTGTACTAGGAAACAATACTCCATTCTCTGAGAATTTCCTAGTCTAGGTCAATAAAGTTACCAGGCACTTGGGCTCCTCATGACTACTGACTGATAATAATAATGATAGTATTTTTAGATGGCACTGTGATTTAGGTTTAATTTCTTGAGTAAAACACTCCTTATCAGTATTTCTGAATCATAGCTGAGAGTGTCCTGTAGATATTCAACAGACTTTCATTTTGACTGGGAAAGTTACTCTTGGTCATGATTTATGTCCTTGACTCTGTTAGAATTATGCAATAGAGTTTATTTTTAAATGGGGACAATTAGTGTTGGAAACAAGTGTCTTTTAGCACTGAATGAAATCAAGTACTTAGGAGTCCATTTTCCTTACAAATAGAATAATTAGAAAAATGTCAGTGTAGTATGGGCCATGTTCTTCTCTACCAGGTATTCTGAGCTCGTTCACTAACAGTATAACAGGTGGCACATCAGAAGCGTGGCATATTATATGGTGGCCCTGTTGTGATCTCCTAAATCAATACCTTAGTTCTACTTCTCAGAAAAGATTTATTCATGCATAGTGTTCATTCTAAAACCTCTGAGAAGAAATCATTCAGCTCCTTGACATACTGGAAGGTTTGTTCAAACTTGGGAAAGCATCAAACAGAATTAATCTCTGAAATCTCAGTGGTTCCCTTTCTTACAGTGTGAGCAGAACAGCAGCAAAGTATTACAGAATGGTGGTATGCAACTTCCCACAGAGCTTGTCTGGGTGATGTAGGGTGGAAGTGGCCAGATTCTTAATGTCTGGGCACTTAAGAGTGGAGCCACCAAAGCAACTAGAACCAACAGGCCACCTAAAAGGTCACACCTAAAAGGAACATTCTGATGGACTGGGAAGTTTGTCCTGGTATTTCCTCAGAGTGCACACAGCTGCAAGTCTTGTCTTATTTTTGTTGGTAGATAGTCTATGGACATCTACCATAAAGCCTCCTTTTTCATTTCTATCTACATTCGTCTCTAGCCTCAATCTGTCTCACAGTCTAACACGTCCAGCTGTTTAGGTCAGGTTAGTACTCTTAAACATTTATCTTCAGTAAAAGAAAAGACCACAACTGGAAATGTCCTTTGCAAGCAGAACTGAAAAGCAATGACAATAGTAACAGTAACACCTGTGAAGTACTGGCAATGCAAAAGGAGAGTTTCCCTGTAGCTACAATAGGGCCTTTGCTAAGTATACACTCAGCACTGAGGCTCACTGTGAGGGTGCTGACCAGGACCTCCTGATCTCAGATGAAGTCAAAAGTAGGGAATCTTACAATTTCACAACTGACACCAGAGATGTTACTAGGAACTCCTTTTTGAGACATGTATCACTAGAACACACATTTACTAGAAGAAAAAAGTGATCCGTGTTGAACAGGGTTCTGAGACAGGTCCATAAAAAGGAACAAGTACAGATAGGTTTTCTGCCTTTCCACATTACATACTCCCTTATAAAGCACACCTCTGTTACTGACTGCATTACTGCTCGGCCTCTGTGAGTGAAAGCTCTTCATTTACACTTACCCCAGGATTCTTCTCTCTGAATGAGACAAATGGTGTTCTAGGTGGAATGATCCAGGACCCAGCATTTGTGAGATTATTATCTAGCAGTTAAATGAAATTACCAATTCTGATTTGTATCTTGACTAAAAAGCCTTGTGTACTTATGAAAAACATACCAACCACCTGGGCCTAATTTATGTTCACATTGATAATTAATGAGCTGCAAACACTCATTTCCTGCCACATGTTAGTTTTGCCTGTATCATACATTTGAATTGTGTTTTCACACCTTATTATTAAGCATTGATAAAAATTTTTAAAGGTTCTCTAATAGAGAAGGTTTTGGGGTACATGTATACTGCAAAGTCCCAGTGGCTCTAAGGCTGAGCCAGGAAGATCTCTTATGCCCACAAGTTCAGGAATAGCCTAGACAACATTAGAAGATACTGTCTCAATAACAACTTCTCCTCCCTTCAAACAATAGGCCAGAGCCTGTGGCAATCAATGTTTTAGGTAAGATGATAATAACAATAGCAGTACTAACCACAATAAGCCACAGCAGCTACCATGGGCTCTACATGGCATCTACATGTTTTTTTGTTGTTTGTTGTTGTTGTTTTTTGAGACAGGATTTCTCTGTGTAGCTATGTCTGTCCTGAAACTGGCTCTGTAGATAAGGCTGACCCTTATCTTTCTCAGAGATCCACCTCCTTGGAGTGTTGGGATCAAAGTCATGGAACACTATTGCCAGGCAACATGCAATACTCAAACTCAATGATAAATCATACAATTATGTTAGCACCATCCTTAGTTTACAGAGGAAACCACAGCTCTTGTAGAATAAGTAACCTGTCCCAGGATAAACAGAATAGGCTTGAATCCAAGTTTGTCTTATTATGAAGCCTAAGAAGTTAATGATAACCATCTTATTCAGAGGTCAAATGCAACTTCTTACTGAATTCACCTATATTGCTTTGTTTTACAGTAAACACTAGATTCTCATTATTTTTTTGCAGAGATAAGAAGAGAGCATCTTTAACATAAAATGGTCTGGGCTTATCACATAATATAAAATCTTTTCTTACTTTTATTAGCCTGAATGTCTGGGATTAGATAAAATGACCAATATGATTATTTTTAATAGTTATTTGTTTTTAACAGTCTGATTTCCAATAATACAACATCAAAATCATCTTTTCTTTTGTATTTCTGACACAGGCCACATATTCATCTTCACGGCATCAGTGACAGTTCTAGTTCCAAGTGTTACCATAGCAACTGCTTTTGGAAAATGGAACTAGTATCAGTGAGCTGTGACCTGACACTACAGTAATAACTCACCCCATCACAGTAGCTTTTTCCTTTACATGTATGTATTAATTGTAGCAAGATTTTTACAAGTTATGACATGTTTTCTTTTACTTTTTTTTAAACTAAGGTCTTATACACCATTTAGTTTAATAGGATCTCCCACCCAAGATATACCCAAGATATAATCAAATTCACTAGCAAAGGATAGAATATTCTAATGTAGTCATGGATTTTTATTGATTTGACTTAGAAAAATAATTATTAGATAAACATAACACAAATATCAGTGTGCTGGTTCTTATCTAATCAATTAAATTTCATAATCATAGGATTCTAATTTTTTGAAACATAAAGATAGGACAGACATTTTAATGTGCTGAATCATATATATATATATATATATATATATATATATATATATGAATACATATATTCATCCATCTCAGATGCAAAATTTTGTTAACACTGGTTCAAGTTATTCATTTTTAAATGTTCCAACAAAATTTTACCTCTTAATGAAATATATATGAAAGGCAGGGATGCCTCTTTTCATTCAACAAGAATGCTTTCTAGTTGGAATACAATTGTTATTAAGCAACATAAAATAACTAAGGCATAATTGGGTCAAGAGTTTCTATTTCTCAGTTTTACTTTTTCTCAACTGTTCCCAAAATTTAATTCATTTCTATTTTTACCATTTCTAATTTGGAAAATCTGTACCTGCCAAACTTAAAAGTTATTATTTAAAAAAAATTAAGTTGTATCTTTCTCTAAAGCCATAAAGTTAGGTCCCTGGCAATTTCCATATTTCCTTAGTATAACCTTGGTGAAAACTGAGACTTACTTTATGGCATTTGAGATGCCTGAAAAATCTGAAGGCTAGAAGGTTTGGTTTAGATGAACTATTTTTGAAATTAAAGATTCGCCGCCCCCCCACCCCCCCACAGACAGACACACAAAGGATTCACTACATTAAAAAGATATATCTCTAAGAAAATTTGTACATAGGTCTTAACTCATTTCATAATTCAGGGAAATTGGACATTCAGGGAGGGACAACAGAATACAGTAGCCCTTACCTCCAGGAGGTGGCTTGCTTTTAGAGGTGAGAATGACAAAACCAAACCCTTCATTTTCCTTTCTCTGTAAGATAACATCATAGGCCTCCTGGGCAGGCCTGGCTGGGAGCTCTGCCCGATTCAGTCGGGGGGATCCATTCTGTGTGAAGGTTTGTGGGCTGTCATCCTCAGGTTGTTTCTCTGTAATGAACATCAGCAGTTTTAATATTTATGGAAAATAGTTTATACTAGGTAAGTATTTTGGTGCTGAGATAATAAAAGAAAATTTAATTTCTAATAACATAAAGAATAGAAATGTAGCATGTTGCCTCTCCTCTCTGGGAATCTTGGGCACAATCAAAGTACAGATGTAGGCAATAGGGATGTATCTGACTTCCTAAACACTTAAAATATACAACAGATAAAATACATATGATCCAATGTTATTTCATGTTTGAGAAACTTCCTTAAAATTTCCATGAGCTTAGACAGTTAAAAAGAATTGTTGAGGCAGCCAGTTAGCTCAGTGGGTAAAAGTACATCATCAACATGCATATAATAAATTAGTAAAACAAAAAAGTTAAAAAACCAAATTATTGGAATTGCTTTAGTTCTGTGAAGATTATAAAGTTTTAACAAAAGTAGATGATATAAGAGACACAGTAAACTTCCTTTTAAAATTAACTGTAATTTTAAATGCTCGGTGATTAATGTTCACAAATGTCTCTGGAGGTGAATGCTGCCCCAAACCATTTGCAATCTGAACAGGATATTTCATATATAGGTGTTTTATAATTGACGCTTTCTGATTGAGCTGCTCAGTGGAGTTCATCACAGTACCCCATAGATAACAAGCTGTGCTTGTGAATGGCAGACTCTCCTGGGTATAAGTTAGCCTATGGCCTTTTGCTGCTATTCGAGGATAAACAAGACCTAGAGAGTGAAATGGGAGCTTTAATTGATTTGGGGTGGGGGGACAGATGGAAAGGATAAACCTTTGTGTGCTAATTTGGTCAGTCATCACTAATATCCCAATGTACTACATTTGTTTAAGACATAGTTATAAATCCTCTTTAAGCTCTAAATTTGCTTGATGTTAAGAATGTTTTTGCTATTCAGAATACAGTTAGTTAGTTAGTAAATAAAGTGCCTGGACCATACTGGAGAGGCAGAGACAGGCAGATCCTTGGGGCTTGCCCACCTAGTTTATATACAGAAAGTTCCAGGCCAATGAAATAGCCTGTCTCAAAAACAAACAAACAAACAAATAAATAAATCAAATGATCCTTTAGGAATGACCACCAACACTGTCCTCTCTGTGCACATGCTGCCCCTTCCCCTGCAGACATAAGCACATAGATACAATTTTAAAAGAGTATGTTTTAGAATCTCAACATTAAATACCAACACCCAGTCATTACTGAGAAAGCAGAGGCAGGGTTCTTTTTACCACTGGAATGTGTTAGCCAATCTCTAACAACACTAAATTACTATAAAACCCCATGGCTTTCCCTGGGATATTTCTCAGGTTTTCACTAAATACAGGCATGCTCTAACTCCAGCACAACCAAAGTGAAACAACATTGCATGAAAATCTGTATGAAGGGGGAATTGCCATCCCGGACTTCAAGCTCTACTATAGAGCTATAGTAATGAAAACAGCTTGGTATTGGCATAAAAAAAGACAGGTGTACCAATGGAATCGAATCAAAGACCCACACACCAATGAACACCTAATTTTTTGACAAAGAAGCTAAAAATATAAAATGGAAAAAAGAAAATATAATCAATAAATGGTGCTGGTATAACTGGCTTTCAACATGTAATAGAATGCAAATAGATCCATATCTATTGCTGTGAACAAAATTCAAGTCCAAAAGGATCAAAGACCTCAATATAAATCCATCCGCACTGAAGCTCACAGAAGAAAAGGTGGGAAATACATTTGAACACATATGCACAGGAGACCATTTCCTAAACAGAACACCAGTAGCACAGACTCTGAGAGCAACAATTAATAAATGGGACCTCCTGAAACTGAGAAGCTTCTGTAAAACAACTCGGTCAACAAGACAAAACGGCTCCCTACAGAATGAGAAAAGATCTTCACCAACCCCACATCTGACAGAGGGCTGATCTCCAAAATACACAAAGAACTCAAGAAACTAGAAATCAAACTACTAAATAATCTAATCAAAAAATGGTTTACAGATCTAAATAGAGAATTCTCAACAGAACAATCTCAAATGGCAGAAAGACACTTAAGGAAATGCTCAACAATCTTAGTCATCAGAGAAATGCAAATCAAAACCACTCTGAGATTCCATTTTACACTGATCAGAATGGCTAAAATCAAAAACACTAATGACAGCTTATCCTGGAGAGGATGTGGAGAAAGGGGAACACTTTTCCATTGCTGGTGGGAGTGCAAACTTGTACAGCCGTTGTGAAAATCAGTGTGTTGATTTCTCAGAAAATTAGGGATCAACCTACTTCAAGACTCTGCAATACCTGTTGGGCATGCACCTGAAGGAGGCACATTCACACCATAAGGTTATTTGCTCAACTGTGTTCATAGCAACATTATTTATAATAATAGCCAGATCTTGGAAATAGTCTAGATGCCTCTCAATTGAAGAACGTGGTATATTTACATAATGAAGTACTACACAGTGGTGAGAAACAATGACATCCTAAAACTTGCAGGCAAATGGGCAGAACTAGAAAAAAAGCCATCCTAAATGAGGTAACCCAGAACCAGAAAGACACATATAGTATCTATTCACTCATAAGTGGATACCAGAAGTAAAAGAAAAGATAACTAGCCTATAATCCATAACCCCCGAGAAGCTTGAACCCTCTTCCAGAAACAGATGGAAGCAGATGCAGAAATCCACACTAACCAATGGGCCAAGCTCCTGGAGTACAATCAAAGTGAGGGAGGAGCAAAAATATGAAAAAAGGAGTCAAGACCATGATGGGGAAACCCACAGAATCAGCTGACCTGAGATAGTAAGAGATCACTGACTTCTGTCTGACAAATGGGGAATCTGCATAAAACCAAACTAGACTTTCTTAATATAGGTGACAATGGGGTGACTGGGACAATATATGAGGCCACTGGCAGTGGGTCCAAGACCTAACACTAATGTACAAACTGACTTAGTGGAGCCCATTCTGTATGGAGAGATACCTCGCTCAGCCTAGACACAGGGGTGTGGGGGTGGAGAGGTGCCTTGGTCCTGCTTCAACGAGATGATGGGACAAACTTAGTAGACTTCCTGTGGGAGGCCTCACCCTCTCCATGGAGCAGATGGGAGGAGGGGGGAGTGGAAGGAGTGGGAGGAAAGGAGGGAGGAGGAACTGGGATTGGAATGTAAAAAATAAATTAATAAAAATAAATAAATAATTAAATTTTTTTTAAAAAGAAAATCTGTATGAATCTCCAGTGCACTGTTATTTACAAAGGCAGTCCTCTTGTGGTATTGCTGAAAAAAAAGTGATATTAAATACAAAGGTATTGGTAAGAAACCATGAGAGCTGTTCATATTCTATTGTCATGGTTTAGACTCTGGGCTCTGGATTTAATCCTAGACCCATTATTTATTGTTTGTGAACCTTTCTGTGGGTGACTGTACATGACAATAATTACATCATAGTGTCTGGGGGTCCAAATAAACTGATGTATCTGATACATAGTAAGCACCAGTAAGTGTTAAATTATATCACACCAAAACTTTCTTTTTCAGTGTGTGTATATGTGTGTGTGTAACATGAAAAATAAATGACCCAGTGACTGGTATTGGGGTTCAAACTTCAAGCTGAATATCAGAAAAGCAAAGCAGCTAGTCACTAGCTTCTACCTCAGGCCTCTATCTCAGGCTGAATGGACTGATCCTGTCTTTACGTGCTCTCACCAAGCCTCAGACTGGAATCTCTCCTCAGGGTAGCTGGAGAATGAATGCCTCATACTGAATACTGAAGATCCCTCTATCTTTTATACCCCTCTAGTGTTGGGATTAAAGGTGTGTGATCTGTTACTCTTTTAGACTGATTCAATCTCATGTATCCCTGAGTGGCCTTGAACCGGAAAGATCTGTCTACCTCTTAATCCTGAGTCCTAGGATTAAAGGTGTGCAACATCACCTCCTATCTTCCGGCTGCTGGGATTAAAGGTGTGTACCTGGCTTCCATGGCTTGTGGCTAACTTTGCTTTCTGAATCCTCAGGCAAGCTTTAATAAATCATAAATAATATATCACTACAGGTATGTATACACATGCTTGCACAAATGGAGGCTGGAGAAAAAACATCGTATGTACTCACCAATTAGGCTAGACTGTCTCACCAGCAAGCCCAGGGGATCTTCCTGTCTCTGCCTCCCCAGCAATAGGATTATAAGCCATGTTGCCATGCTTGCCTTTTTACAAGGCTGTTATTTTAAGTAAATGCCAACTTGCCTGGCTCTTTATGGGGCTATGGGGATCAAATAAACTCAGGTCTTCATGCTTCTAAGGTCAAGAACTTTACTGAGTTATTTTTCCAGGCCCTAGACCAAAACTTTATAATGAGAAGCATTCTACTTCTTGTGAATATTTGGGATTTCACCATGATCAAGCCTTTGACATATTCAGGTAGGGGCTATCTTGGTATGATGAAAGCAATATTTAAAAAAAAAACATTTAAACTGATACTCCCATTTACAGTAATATATTGATAAAATTGATTAATATGATAATATAACTTAATGTAGCAACCTAAAATTTATTTTTACTTTGAAAATATTTCTGGATCCTTTACACTTCAAAGCTTTCTGCTGAGCCCTGAATTATCCCAAATGGGTCAACATTCACACTGCAGAATATTGTATAACATACTATAAAATCAGAGCAAGTGGATCCTTAACTTTTTAGTGATGAAAGAGTTTTACACACCTCCATAGAAGATCTTTCTCCTGACAGTTAGTAACACATGGCCATTTCGAGCGGCAGTGGTCATTAAGTCCAAAACTTGCTTGTGTGATTTTCCTTTAACAGGAATCCCATCAATACACATCAATTCATCAGCAGCACGAAGCCGACCATCCTTTTCAGCTGCTCCCAGGGGAATAATGGCCCCAATATATATCTGTAAGATAGCAAAGCATAGGTTGGTCTATGCAGTTCACTAAGATCAGCTGAAGAGTTCATCTATGAACTCTTATTATTTCAGAAAAGTGGCATTTTAAAAAGCATATATTCTCCAAAGTGGTACTTCAAATACCCACACTTTATTATTTAATTCTAGATCTTCAGGTTTGAGCACAAGGAAGAAAATATAAAGCTGCCTAAGAACTTAAAAAGCACCCCCAAGTTCTCCATTACAATGTAACAAAATGCTAAAAAATTAAAAAAAAAATACCAAAGAGAAAGATGTTCTACAATTATTGACAGCGACCAGGGTCATTCTTATTATTCTCCCATATTATTATGACCAACAATACAAGTTTAGGGTATATAACCAAGAAATAGTTCTTGTTCCTAAACTGTTGGAGGGAGCAGGGAGGATGAAGGTCATTGGCATCTTGTGGGAAGACCCAGTTTATTTTGCTCTCCAGCAGTTAGGGCCCTCAGCGATGGCACTCTTCATGAGTTATGGAACCTTTGGAGCTTTGCAAGAGGAAGTGCATCACTGGGAGCAGGTTCTGAGAATTTATACCCATGCCTCACTTCCAGTTCATGTAGATGGAAATGTGATCTCTCAGCTTCCTGCTCTGACCACCTGGTCCATGCCTTCCTGCCATTACAGACTGTCCTATAGAATCATATGCCAAATAAATTTTCCCTTCTCAATTGCTTTGATCATGGCACTTTATCAGAGTAACAAAAGTAACTACTACAATCTAAATTCTACCAAATCTCCACTTAAGAATATTAACTAGAGCAGCAAGCTGGGTGTGATGGTCACACCTTTAATCTCAGAAAGAAAGGGAGGCAGTTGCAGGTTGATCTCTGTGACTCTGAGGCCAGCTTGGTCTACCTAAGGAGTTCCAGGTCAGACAGGCTACATAATATGACAATCTCTCAAAAAAACCCAAACTCAAAACAAAAACCAAACAAAATCAGGAGCATCAATATCCCAAAGTTTACACTTACAGACTGGTCAGGTCCATCTCCTCCCAGTACCCTGAAGCCAAACCCTGATTCTTGTTTCCGAAGAAAAACATCCAGATCTTTGGTGTTTGGTGCTAAAGAAAGTAAGAATATGTAACTATAATTTATTCTAAATAGATTAAAGTAAAATAAAGCTCAATATTTAATAGAAAAATACTATAGAGCATTCAAAAAACTATAATTGCAGAAATGATGTGTGAAAATTTATGTGAGTATAAGGAAATTCAAATGTTAAAACTGTGTCAAGAGCAATTAGGTTACCTACCACACTCCCATCCTCTTATTACTTCACTGACACTAACTTCTAATGCTGTCCAATCAATATTACATTAAGTTCAGACATATCCAACTGATTGTGCAAATAATAAGTTAACATTTGAGCAAGGTTCTTTAAATCCTTGGAAAAGAGAGCCCCAAATGCCTTATTTCTACTCTTAAGGGAATAACTTTGCCTAAGAAAAGTATTTTATGGGAATTATTTACTTAGACTAAATGTACAAAATGCTAGTATTTTCAAAGATAAAGAGAAACAGGCATGTAATACCTCTTAATGATCCCATTTTCTAGGTGGGTAAACTGAGGGCCTGAATAACTCACCTGATGTCTTGCAGTGACTTGTAGAGCTAAGATTTAAACCCAGCTTCACTCCCCAGATGCCAAGCTTACCCCCACAATCCTGTCCCCAAGGAGCTGGTTGCAGTAATAAGAACATGAAATCAGGAAAATCTATTTCATGCCTAAGACTTTGTCTCTGGGAAAATATTAGCTTTAATTATAAGTAATATACATTTATTAAAAAGAAAAAAGTAGGGAAATTTCTAGGAAACTACATAAAAAGTAAGTGAAATATGGTGTAGGGTAATTTCCTGGCAATTCTTTGGAAGCAACATCTTTTGATAAATACTTCCCACCAGAGTCACAGGAACTTTTGGGGTAGAGGCGTGTGGCTAAGTGGTGGAATGTGTGCTCAGTAGGAGTGGGCTGGCAAGATGGCTTAGTGGGTCACTTGCTGTGGAACAAGAAGAAGTGGTGGGAGAACTGAGAAAAGAAAACCAACTCCACAAAGTTGTCCTCTGACCTCCATACCCACATGTATCTGTGGCGTGTATGTACTCATACACACATCGTACACACATACACACACAGTAATAATAAACTCAATTTAAGAAAGAAAAGAGAAATCATGAGTCAAACACACTTGTTTTATATTAGGGCCCAATGGCAATGAGGTGTTTCTACCAATATTAAGAATGTATCAGACTATGAGTATACAGACTGAAGGAAGGGGTACTACACAGAGCTGTATTAATTAAATTATTGCCTTGCTATGCTTATACCTGGTCTGATTCTCACCTTTCTGAATATGGCCAACAAATGTTAAGATAAAGATGTACACCTAGTTATATAAGCATGAAGTCAGTTATATGTACTATTTCCATTTGTGTATGCCTTTTACAGAGCAGATACAGTTCTATTTCTTAAAAACAAGTTTTCAAAAATTAAACCTAAATAAACAGAAAATTTTACTTCAGAAAATATTTATAACCAGTAACTAAATTACTGTTAAAGGATACTTAGTGTTAAAGGATACTTCTTTTTTTCATTTTCATTTTTGTTTTCCGAGACAGGGTTTCTCTGTGTAAGCCTGGCTGTCCTGGAACTCACTCTGTAAATCAGGCTGGCCTCAAACTCCCAGACATCTTACCTGCCTCTGCCTCTGCCTTCTGAGTGCTGGGGTTAAAGGCATGCGCCACCACCGGGAAATACTTTTTAACTGTGTACTTTCTCTTCTCCTCTCAGTTGGCTCCTTTAACAAGTCCACTATGGTTTCCTTTTCTTATTGCACACCACTTGATCAGCCTTCACCCGCTAGCCAGAAAAATCTTTCTAACACACAAACCCTATTTTCCCTACAGCTCAACATATTCTGTGGTTCTGTTTTATGCACCCATACTTCCTCATCTGCGGTCTACAGTCTGTGTTGTTCTCTTCCCTTGGCTTTCCTTGCCAACCACAGCCACACTGCACTATAGAACACAGGCCAAGGAAGCCAACATGTAAGTGCTTTTCCATTTGTCTTCTTTGTAACATCTCATCCTTAAAGCTTAGGTTTTCTTCCCATATGAAGCATTACCTGATATTTCCTACTATACATGCTGAAGAATTGATTATTTCCTACTCAGCATCCCAATTTATCCAGTTCATGTTTTTATCACTGTTCCTGCTAGGTTATATGTACTGATTTTATTCCCCAACCTCTGAGTCATGGGTCCAGCACACTCCTACTGTACCACTACACTTACACTACATGTACTTATCTGGTCACATATTCCTCTGCTCCATTTAATTTAATTTGCCTAACAGCGAATCTGGTAGACAGCTTATACTTAATTTTGAAAAAAAAAGTAATGAATATTGAATGTACACACAAAAAAAGCTCAGAATCACATTAAAATGGGAAAGAATAGTTTCTTAATATGTAAAGGATGGGAGAGTTCCAATTTAAAAATAATTCAAATTGATTTTGTTACATGCTCCCCTGAAATATTCCCAATTACTTACGTTTATCTTCATATAAAGTCTTAGATTTCAGGTAGACCTCAGAAGGATCCAATTTTGGGGATCCTGACCTGATAATGCTGGGAGGAAAAGGCATAGGCTGGGGAATAGGCTCATTTATGGCCTCCAAACTTCCTGAATTTTCCTTTGCATCAGTTTTCTAAAGTGAAAAAAAAAAGGATCTTACTTAGTACTTTGAAAATAAGATGGTTATTTCATAAGGCTGTGCTGTGAACTGGAAATGTTAACTAAGTAGAGTTGTAAAGGTGGTGAAAGTCACAGAAGATTGATTGTATGTCCATGAGTTCACTCACACAGCCATGTCTATCTGGTTAAAATGTATTTAGTGTACATTATTTAGAGTCATTTGTATAATGATTTATATAATGTATAATTATTTATATAGTGATTCAACTAAAGGGATTCAGTCTTATGTTTAAGCATTCCTTTTTGTTTTTTTGTTTTTGCTTGTTTTGTTTTTTTTTTTTCTGTTTTTGAGATAGGGTGTCTATATGTAGCCTTAGCTGTCCTAAAACTCACTCTGGAGACCAGGCTGGCTTTGAACTCACAGAGATTCGCCTGCCTCTGCCTCCCAAGTGCTGGGATTAATGGCATGTGCCACCACCACCACATTGTTTCCCTTTCCTTCACCACCAAGACACAAATTGACTAGGAGATGAAGATAAGTAAATAGACAGCAACAACACTTTTAAAGAAAGTGAGAAGAAAACTCTCTCATTCACTAAATTTAATTTGCAGTGAAGATGTTTAAGATAACACTCTTTCTGAGAAACCCCTCCTGTTCCAGATGGTATGGCAAAACCTCTGCTGGAGAATGACAATTCATCTACGAAAGCACCCGTGCTGGGCAGTCAGTCACAAAAGGGAAAACAAAATACAAATATAACTTTCCTAAAGTAGTCAGGCAAAATTATTTCCTTATTTTACTTATTACTATTATTACTACCATCTGATGTGTGAATGAGGGTGTTCAGATAGAGGTCAGAAGAGAACTTTCAGGAGTCAGTTCTCTCCTTCCTCTGTAGATTCTGGGACCTAACTCAGGTTGTCAGGCTGGCAGAGCAAGAACCTTTAACCATTGAGCCATCTCACTGGCTCCAAAGTGATTTCTTTCTTTCTTTCTTTTTCTCCATTTTTTAAATTTAAATTAGAAACAAGATTGTTTTACATGTCAATCCCAGTTCCTTCTCCCTCCCTTGGTCCCGGCCCGCAACACCCTACCTATCCCATACCCTTTCTGTTCCCCAGGGAGGGCGAGGCCTTCCATAGGGAGTCTTCAGAGTCTGCCATATCCTTTGGGATAGAGCCTAGGCCCTCCCCCTTGTGTCTAGGCTCAGGGAGTATCCCTCTATGTGGAATGGGCTCCCTAAGTCCATTCCTATGCTATGGATAAGTACTGATCTCCTACAAGAGGCCCCACAGATTTCCGAGGCCTCCTCACTGACACCCACATTCATGAGGTCTGGATACATACATGGTCTCCTGGAGAAGGGGAAAGGGACAAGCTCTCCTGAGCAAACTGGGAGCATGGGGGAGGGGAGAGGGAGCTAGGAGAATGAGAAGGGGAGAAGAAGAGGGGTGAGGAGGTCATGAGGGAGCAGGGAAGTTGAGTTGGGGGAAGAATAGAGGAGAGCAAGATAAGAGATACCATAATAGAGGGAACCATTATAGGTTTAAAGAAAAATCAGGCACTAGGGAAATTTCTGGAGATCTATAAGGATGACACCAAATAACAATCTAAGCAACAGAAGAGAGGCTACCTTAAATGCCCTCCCCTGATAATGAGACTGATGACTAACTTATATGCTATCCTAGAGCCTTCATCGAGCAGTTGATGGAAGTAGAAGCAGACACACACAGCTAAACACTGAACTGAACTGGAATCCAGTTGCAGAAAAGGAGGAGTGATGAGCAAAGGGGCCAAGACCACTGTAGTTAAACCCACAGAAACAGCTGACCTGAACAAGGGAGAACTCTTGGTCCCCAGACTGATAGCTGGGAAACCAAAGTGATTTCTTTAATAACAATTTTAAATAAAGAGTTTGAGATCAGCTTTGTTATTCTGAAGTTTTGTTGAGAGGAAGATTCACAGGCATATGTATACAATAATTAACACTGCCTAGGATGCAGGGGCAGCAGTACTGAGAGGTGAATCATTTCCAAGTGCCACAGAGGACCTCTCACTGATCTAGACCCAGTGAGATGGGAGGAAGGTGACAGAGCCAATCTTCCCTTCCCCTACATCCTCTAGGATTCTGTCAGCATCACTATAGGTCAGCAGAACCTTCCACCATCAATACAGCATTAGATCATCATGGTTGCAAGGGAACCCATTATGAAATGGATATAGAACTAAAAATGACTGAGACGGGAAGGGGAGAAATATAGAAAAATACAGTGCAATCTTAACTGATTGGACAAAAAACGAACTTCTGTTCACATGGGAACTAATGGTAGAGAAAGCCCATTAAAAAAAGCAGATTCTAAATGACCCCCTTCTTCCCACACCCTGATCCACTCAGCAGCATCTTCGTAGACTTGGTGTGCTGGAAGGAATTAATTTTTCATACAATGTGGCCTTTCCTTTAGAAACCTATGACTTTTCATAGAAAACACCTCTCTATTCCAAATTGGCCAAACCATTAACTAAGCTGAGATTTTAAATATAATTGTCTTTATAACCATGTAAGTACCCACAAATGTATGTTATGTCTGGTACAGTTTCTTTCACAACAACAGCACTTAACAACACCATTTTAATACCTATTTTCTCCATATAGATTTTTAAATAGCTTTCTCAGTTTTACAAAGAAATACTAAAGAAGACACTGTTTCAGATCTAAGTCTTATCATTTGATGTAAGATTTAGCTCAGAAAGCAACCATTTGAAAAGTTTTGCTTAGTCTTAAATGTGAGATGATTTAAATCTGGGTAGTTACAGTCTCCATGAAATTATGATCAGCTACTGTGTCTTCTCCTTGGGCACCAGCAAGGAGATGTATTAATAGCTTGCCATCTGTCCTAACATTTAGCTACTTCTTACCTGGCTCCTCTGGAAAGAACTAAAAGGATGTTTACACAGGTTCTTCAGTGGCCCACTTGGTAATCTGGGCCTCTAGTGTTCTCCAGCAGCAAACCTTGACCAACCAAGCATAGACCTCATGGGAGTTTTCTACCAACTCCTTGGAGTTTCTGATCTAAGCCTAGAGCGACATGCCTTTCTTTGACTTCTCACAGCCAATCTCATAGCAAGAAGCTGTTCTTCCTGATGGGAATGAGGCACCTCTTTCAGGGTATGGGGAAAGTAGTAAAGGATCACCATAGTACTTACCATTTTGGCAGTTTTAGTTGGTGAACGAGGACCTAAAATTTAAAAAGAACCAAAATTTAAAAGCAGAGGAAACACTCATAGACCATAAATAATAATGTCTATAATAAAACTTCAAATTTTAGTAGGCTAATAATAAACTCTATCTGGTATCAGCTATGTCTCAGGCATTAAACATCAATTATCTTGAACACTGCAACATTCCTGAGGTGTAAATGCTAGTATCATTTAATAGTTAAGGTTCCTTAAATCACAAAAAACAGTAAGCAGAGTGGAGCAAACTGCTATCAACCCACCAAATACCAAACCTTGGTCTCTGTCATATTTGTTAGAAAACACTTACGTATTCACAAGATATTTCTTTTAAAGATATATTTGCATTTATTTGTGTGTATTTGTGCGTGTGTGTGTGTGTGTGTGTGTGTGTGTGTGTGTGTGTGCACTAGCTTGCTATCTGTTTTAATATTTAGCTACTTCTTACCTGGCTCCTCTGAAATAAACTAAAAGGATGTTTGCAAAGGTTTTTAAATTGTCTACTTTATGACATGGAAGATAGGACTGTTGGTAATGTGTACACATGGTGGCCAGAAGAGGGCATTGGATGCCCTCCTCTACCTATGCCTCCTATACACTCCACTTATTCCTCTGAGGCAGAGGCAGGGATTCTGTCTGAACCAAGGGCTCACATTTCCTTGGGTAGGCTGGAAGTCTCCAGCTACTTCTGAGCTGAGGTGACAGGCATGCAAGGGCTGCCAGGCTTGTTATATGGATGCTGGCATCTGAACTCTTTGCCAGCCCCATCACTAAGATTGTTTTTTACCTGACTCTGAGTATACTGTACTATATCACCTGGAAAAGATAACAAAATAGGTAAAGGAAATGAAAAATTCTCCAAAGAAGCAAAGTGTGCCTCAAATATAAAAATTAAAAGTCAGGGAGATAAGGAAGAAAGTTGAAACACTAGTCATACATTGGTATGGACTTAAGAAAGCCTATTGAAATGCAGCTTTGTAGTTCATTCTTAGAATTAAATTTATAATATCTAGGAGTGGTTCGTGTTAGTTAATGACTTTGGAAAGTGAAATTTCCATTTTTTCACATAATCACTGTGAGATTTAATCAACATTTACAGGCAGATCGTAGAGCTTAAGATAAAGGACAGGTTAACACTTCGCTGTTCTACTTATACATAGAAATGTTAGCATTTCAAATCTCTGGTGTGGTGCAGAATTCACAAAGCGCCACTGACTAAAAAAGTCAATTTCTATTATTGTTATTAACCGAGAAAATGAAATTAAGAGAAATTATCTTATTTGATGTAGCATAGCACCATGACTTTTTCTAATAATTAAAATTGTAAACTGTATTTTAAAAAGACTATTGCAGGAAAGACATTATATTCATAAGGGAACATTTATAACCAACATAGAGTTAAAAAAAAGATGCTGCTGCTGAAACAAGCAGTCAGAGCCACAAGATAAGTGCACACACACACACACACACACACACACACACACACACACACACACACACACACACGCAAAAAAAAAAAAAAGAAAAAAGAAAAAAAAAAAAGAAAACTGCACACTAACTGCCAGGGAAATATTCGAGTAAAAGACCTGCCCTGGAAGGGAGGGCAACGATCAAATATAAATGCTTGGAATGAAGAGTCATCCTTGTGCTGTTACTCACCTCCTCTTAAGATAAGCAACGGCACATCTGCACCTACTGGGAACTGCTTTAGTACTTCTACCACTTGGAGATGTGTTAAATTCTGCACATTTTGGTGGTAAATTTCTTTGATGATATCCCCTTTTTGAAGGCCTTGACACCACTGGCTATCCAATATCATTTTCACCTTCTGTCCAGTTGGGCTATCAGCAATTGCAAACCCAAAGCCTTTGGGGCCTTTAATCAGAGGGATAGTCACTAGTTCAGGCTGGGAGCTGCCTGATGATGCCAGGGATGCTCTCTGTTCACTTGAATCTGACGGACCATTGAGACGGTCACTGGCCAAGATTTGGCTTGGTTTTCCATTTTGATCCAAAGCCATTGCTCCTGGTTTAAAATCCTGAGTATTCATGCATGTCTCTCCTTTTGTTAATGATTGTCCATTGATGACAGGGGTAGCAGCAACAATGTCCACAACAGGATCTTCACTGTCATCAGGAAGTGGATAACCACGGCATAAAGTAAGGTTGACATACTGGTTGACTGGTACCAACTGAAACATCTGGACAACATCTGCATGGGTGTGACCAAGGACACAGTTGCCATTGATGTCTACAATAACATCACCTGATAAAATATAATATAATCATGTTAAAATATTAAAACCACCAAATAAGTTAATAGTTTTGCTGGGGGAAAGACAAAAACAAAATCAGAAACTAAATTTGAATTCTGAAGCTCGCTAATTGTTTATAAATGTTGAAAGAGATTTCTAATACATCTATTTATTCTTCTGACTTTGCTATAAAAATATATAAAAATGTCTGCATTTTTAAGATTTATTTTTAATATTTTCATTATTTGTTGTTGTGTATGTCATGTATGTACAGGTACCAACAGAAGACAGGGTTCCCTGGAGCTGGAAACACTGGTAGCATAAGCTACAATTGGGGTTCTCTGAAAGAGCACCAAGTGCTTTTTTTTAAACTACTGAGACATCTCCTAAATGTCAAATTACTAATTATCTTAACATCAAAGAGTTATAATCTCAAATTCAACCCTTTGATGTAAAATCCCTCCAAGTTTTATTGCAATTGTTATGTACTTTCTGAGCCATTACTAAGTGGCTATTCAAAACTCAATTCAGTGTGGTAGGTGTTTAGCACACACAAAAGAAAATAACTCCATTGGCTACTTGTACAAACAAGCTATTCATAAATGTCTCTTAAATCTATCCTAAGGGATCTTTTCTGTAGTTTACTATGAGTCTGATTTCAAATAGAGAAAGCAGCAGCAACAACAAAATCATGATAACCAATGAGTATATTTTTAAGATACTGAAAGGTGAGATGAATTAATTCTTGTAAGATTTAATTTTCTCCTTCTCTTTTATAATATTATGCTAACTTTGTAGAAATTATTCTACAGAATTTCCACAGTTGACAATTCTTTACAACAAAATTTCATTATCTCATCTATTTATTTTCATTTCATTTAATTATTTAAAAGCTTACTGACAAATAAAGGTATTTTAATTTGTTGTGCTAAGACTTCAAAAAACAGGATGCATGGTGTTGAAAATGTCACACAGACACAGATGCAGGCAAAACACCCATATACATAAAATAGTTTTTTAAAAAAATAGTTTAACAAAGTTTTAACTTTTTACCTCCAAGTGAGAGTTCCTAAAAAGTTCCAAAAGTCTTTATGCAAATTAGCTAACAGTTTTAGGTAAATGAGAAACTGATTATGAAACCATGGATATCTATCTATGTATCTATCTATGTATCTATGTGTCTGTCTGTCTATCTATCTATCTATCTACCTACCTACCTACCTACCTACCTACCTACCTACCTATGCTATATGCTTTTATGAACAAATGGTGAAAAGGTTAAAACTGAAAATTAAAAAGGAAGCTTTTATATTAACATTAAGATCTTTAGAATTCATTAATTTTAAAAATAAAAGTTAAATGTAACTAAATTTTTTAGGCTTTCTTTTTTAAAGTTTCTATCGATTCATTGAAAGGTATATGAGATATTCTATAACTTAATTAAAAGTACCTTGATATTTGTCATGAGAAAGTATAGTAACAATTGACTCATCCAAGTGTAGGTTCACATTACAACAGCATGTGAAATAATAGACAATTTAAAAAATCTAGCAAACTCTGCAATAAGGAACCCCAGTGGAACACTAAACTCTTTGGAAAAGAGTGTGTGATTCACCACAATATTCAGGAATTTGTCTTGAACCTCTTCCAAGGTCTTCAGAAGCAAACCATGTCAGCCATATGAAAGTATCTAACAATTGCCAATTAAAGACTAGGAAAATTAAATAAGACAGCCTAACTTTATGTAGCTTTATAAAATAGTGATGTTTGTATCTATAATATTTAACACAGTACTTAAATTTTACTAACTACAAGTAAGGCCGAGGAAGGGGAAAAGTTGGTTAAAATTAAGAATTTTTTTGTTATCACTAAAAACATTTCAATGGACTATTTTTCAAAAGAGATGATAAATAGATGTTAGGAAGCTATAAAAGTATGGCTCAGTGGCTAAGAGGACTGGATGCTCTTCCAGAGGACCAAGATTTGATTCCTAGTAACCACACATCTGTAACTTCGCTTTCAGGGGATCTAATGCCTCTTTGGGTACCAGGCACTTACATAGTACATATACATACAAGCAGGCAAAACACCTATATACCAATAAAAATTTTTAAAGTACTCTATTATCAAACAATCAAATGATCTTCTGAGATGACTATCAAATATTAAGTTTCATACAGAGTATTATCTAAAAATTATATAGAACCAAACATTAAAAAAATATTGTTTATTAGTTTCTTATTATTAGAACAGCCAGCCTTCAAAGTAGCAATTATTTATTTAGGGGACAAACTATTTTAATATAGGAATATCAAGTTTCAATTACATAGTCTATTCTCTTCATACATACATACACACACACACACACACACACACACACACACACACACACACCCCTCTGCTATAATTTTTGTTAGTGTGCCACAACTCTTCCAGTAATTCTGAAAACCTTGTTACCTGGTGCAATTTTCCCGTCCTGAGCTGCAGGCCCATCTTTTAGCACATTTTTCACTTGTAGGAATTCATCAGGCCTATCTCCACCAATAATGGTAAAACCAAATCCCATTGTACTCTTTTTCAGTGATGCTCGAACAAGGACACCTTTAAGTTGAGACGGATCCCGAGTAAAGTGAGATCTTTCCACATCTAGGTCAAAATAAGAAGTCAGGTTTGAAAACAAAATAATTATATTGAATAAACTGTTTACAGTCAGTTAATCTTCAATATATTTGTATAACTTAAGTTAAAAAAACTATAAAAAATCCTTAAGGAATAGGAAATCTCTGAAACTCTGAAGGTATAGAACAGTTAGAATTTAAGTTGAAAAATTAAATCCTTGTTGTGGGGGAAGGAAGTGCACTTGTGAATAATATTTTTATAGGATTTCTTGACATCTTCAGAAAAAGTAAAAAAAAAAAAACACTTTCTCTCTGTAGTTTTTCCCCTTACCCATACTACACTACAGTAGCCTCCCTCTATTCAGTTTTTGCTTTTTGTAGTTTCAGTCATTTACAGTCAGATGAATTCCAAAAATATTAAATGGAAATAAACTATACATTTCAAATTGTATACTGTTCTGAGATGTGTGGTGAAATCTTGTGCCACCCTGGCCCATTTTATCCGGTACACAAATCATTCTTTCATTCAGGTATCTGTGCTGTATGCACTACCACTTACAGTTGTTCATTCTTTCATTTGGGTATCTGTGCTGTATGTACTTACAGTTGTTGAGTAGCCATTTGGTTTTCAGATCAACACTTGAGTTTTCACACTACCTATATCCAAGCAATTCTTGTTTTACTTAAAAAAAAAAAAAAAAGCCCAAGGCTCAAGAGTAGTAACAGTGGTGATTTTGACATACCAAAGAGAAATTGTAAAGAGTTCCCATTAAGTTAAAAGGTTAGAGAGATGGCTCAGTATTTACCAGAACTTGATGCTCTTGAAAAGGACCTGGGTTTGGTCCCTAGCACCCACATGGTGGCTCACAATGTCTGTAACTCTAGTTCTGAAGGACCTAATACACTCTGCTGACCTTTGTGTGCACAGACATACATGCAGACAAAACATCCACACACATAAAATAAAAAATATTTTTAAAGGGATAAATTTATCAAGTATGTATCTATAGGAAAAAGCTGATACATGGTTTAATGCTATACACCACTTTAGGCATCTACTAGTGGTCTTGAAATATATTCTCATCAGATAAAAGGTGATTTTATACCATTTATAATGATTAAATCATTTATAAAGAATATCATTTATTGATTACCTCATAGCAAATACTACTATAAGCACTTTGTATTTATTTACATACACATTTAATCTAACAGTACCTTCCTCTTGAGATAGTTTCAATGTCTTGAGAACCCTTCAACAGGACGATATCTCCAGAGGATGGTATTATTATTATTATTACTTCATAGATGAGAAAACAGGCATCGAGACTTTAGGGAACTTAATAAAGTTACATAGTAAGATTTAAGCCTTTTAGCCATCACATTTATCCACTATTTTAAATGACATTTCTCACCACATATTAAATGACCATTACCTACCACACTATGAATTCTTGGGGGTAAGAATGGACTTAATTGCAAACATTTTTGAATACCTAGTGACTAGTGAAGCATAGAGCATATGAAGAGTGCTCAAAAAATTTCTGTTAAACTGAAAGTTTGCTAAACTACATGCAAAGCTTAAGGAATAAACATAAATTTTTGAAGAGCTAGAAGAACTATTTTTCTCACAGATAACAGAAGTGGGTTATACTGTATTCTGCAATATAAGCAGAGAACTTGGTTGTAACAACACATGGAAGAAAGGAAGAAACATAACAACCAAGAAAGGGAGCATAACAACCAAGAACTTCCGGAGCAGCTTTTCAAAAAATTAAGAAGTATGATTAAGTGCATTAAAACTTCATGTAACTTGCTGGGGTATTGGTGGCGCACGCCTTTAATCCCAGCACTCAGGAGGCAGAGGCAAGCGGATCTCCGTGAGTTCGAGGCCAGCCTGGTCTTCAGAGAAAGTGTCAGGATAGGCTCCAAAGCTACACAGAGAAACCCTGTCTCGAAAAACCAAAAGCCAAAACCAAAATAACTTCATGTAACTTAAAATGTCTTCTGAGCGATTCTCTATGAGCAATACCTACTATCAGCAAGATCCATGACAGCCAATGGTATTGGGAGATACTCTGGAAAATTTACTGAGTACTGATTAATAATAGTGAAGAACCTTGAAGATTAAATCTATGTATGTGACTTATGTAGTTAATTCAGAAGCTATAATGAACTAAATAGCTAATACTGAGTCAGGCTTCAAAAATAAAGAAACAACTTAATCTTTAATACCCAAACTCAAATTCATACAATTTCATATTTTTATTTAATCATGATAAACATCTCAGAAGTCTCACAATGTTCACATGATTTTGTTCAAAAAAAGATTATCCATATCTTTTACAGAGGTAAAACTTTCTCTGTTGAGTTTCAAAGATTAAGCAATAAAAAGTTCAAATTCACTTTCATTAGCTCACCATGCATATTTCTCATTTTATTAGAATGACCAAATAAGAAGTTCTACCTGGTTTTGCAGAATGAATTTCAGCCTGTCCTATCTGCTTTTTCCTTTTGGCTTCCTCCACTGGATTTTCAAACTGAGTTTTCTGGTTGAGGTGACTGTAAAATATAGAGAAATGTGCAGCTCAAGTTTAGATGAAAGAGTTCTACTTATTTTCTTCAATAAAACATTGTGCTATTCCATCACAAAGGTTAAGGAGTATATATCTTTAGGAAATGGAGCATAGAAAGGCTGAAAGAGATAGTGGGAGGCCCAGAGGATGACTAGAGGTCAAAGGTGCTGAAGCTTACACTAGTACTTCTCCACAAACACACTAAGGAGACCAAACAACAGTTTACAAAACTGCAGTAGAATTTCTCTTCCTGCAGCATTCAGAAGAACTGGTAACTGGTCAGCTAGTTTTTTTTTTTTTTTAAGGTAATTAACAGCAGAAGAATCTGTAAATTTCTCTAAAACAAATCAAGCCACTCTTGAAAAATATCAGAGTGTAAAGCTTCTAGAACAGTGGTTCTCAACCTCTCTAATGTTACAACACTTTAATATAGTTAATCTTGTAGTGATCCCCAACCATAAAATTATGTTCTTTGAGACTTCATGACTGTAATTTTGGCTGTAATTTTGGCACTTTTGTGAATTGTGCTATAAACATCTGGTATGTAGGATATCTGGTATGTGACCCCTGTAGAAAGTGTTTGAAGTTCAGGTTGAGAACCACTGTTCTAGAATCTTATCCCAGCATCTTACTTTTTTACTAATTTTGTTACAGAACAACTCTGTTTTTATACTTCAGTGTCTTCACAATTACACAATAAATGTAACATAATTTAGCGGGCTCCTGTGACTGAGTACATTCACAACTGACTCTTGGAAAGTTTAGAACTCTGAAGGAAAGCAGGAAAATGAAGGGAGCCTTGGAGGCAGTTGATGACCCAATAGTCCTCATTATTTTACGAGCTTCTGTGTGTTACACAGGACAGTAGCACTGAGATGCTGGCAAGCCACTATATTTAAGAATGTAGTTGTGGCAAAAGAATAAAAACCAAAAATGATGTTTAAAATCATGATGAGATATAACTCAGAGACCATGTGATCATATTCTACCATGTCTCAGTGCAAAGATATTTTCAGTCAAATGTTTTCCACTAAAAATCTGCTCCAACAGAAATGAAATTATTGAACACCAAAAATTAAACATCAAACCATGAGAATTTCAGGCTATGATTATCTTTATGTAAGTCAATTAATCATACAATCTATATATAAACAGGGAAGCAAATAATGTTTCCTTGGCTACCTGTGCTATTAATTGTGAAGGTAAACAAAGGATAAACACAAACAATAAAACAAGCAACTATTATAGCAAGGGATGTTAGCTTTCTTTGTCCTTTGGGCTTCTAGAGTGTCTTTTAAAAAACATTTATTTTTATTTTATTTGTCTGGTGTGTGCCATGTGTGTGCTGATGCCCTTGGAAGTCAGATGAGAATACTGGATCCCGTGGAGCTAAAGTTACAGGCATTTATGAGCCACTGGGGTCCTCGGGAAGAGTAACACATGTTCTTGACTGATGAGCCATCTCTCCAGCTCACCTTAGTGGGTCTTAACTTTCAACATATGAAAATAAAACTCTTAGCATTCTTAAAAAAAAAAAACTAAAGATTAGCACTTATAAAGAATCCTGTTTAAAGAAGAACTCTGGCTGCCTTTTATATCATCAACTAGAATGACTCATTTAGTCATAATGGCTTTAGAATAAAAAAAGTAGTGATTTGTATTTCTATCCTTCATGATGTGTGCAAGAAGAGAATAGAGACACACAAATGAATTACATTCCTTTTTGAAAGTTCTTAGATAAAAAAATATAATTTTAGTGGAGTAATCAATTGCATCTGCAACATTAGACTATATTAAATGCCACCCTCCATATAAAACAAATCAGTGAAAATACTCTTCACTTTGATATTTTTAACTTTCTTTTATTTATTGTTTGTCTTTCACATCACACATCTCAATTCCATTCATTTCCCCATCCCTTTGTATCTGCCCTCTAACCTTGCAATCCCTCACACCCTCAGGGCTGGCTCACCCTCTTCCCTTTCTACAGAGTCAACTCCACTGTGCTGCCCAGGTGAAGCACAGGGCCTGTTCTGAGTGCTGTTGCTGGTGAAGGGTTGTTCACTTTGTTGTTTATAAGCACATATTAAAAAGAATAGATTTATTTGTCTAAACATGGAGTAAGGACACCCTCTAAGTAAAGAACATCATAAGTATGAGAGGAGACTATTACAGATCAGCAGAAAAGTTCAGAAAGGTGGCCAGATAAGCATGATTAAATACCTAACAAATAACTTGCAATGTCATCTGCATTATAATTTTAATACCTAGATTTAGAAATTGCATCTCAACAAATTCATGAAGAATATAAGATAGGAAACCAGATACATCTTTTGATTGTTGTCTAAGTGTATTACAATTTTTAATGCAGTACAACTAGGACAATATGAAAGTATTTCTTGGCTACTAAGATGGCTCAGTTGGCAAAGATACTTGCCACTGATCCCTAGGACTGACATGGAAGGAAACAATGGGTTCCCATGAGCTGTCCTCTAACCTTTTAAGCATGCTGTGACATACTCCTCCCCCCATTTTAAAAATTAAGTATTTTTATAGAGGGCCTGACATTACATTTTAGAACAATTTTTTAAAAGATCCATTTCAGAATCTCATTTTTTAAAAATAAATATAATAACAAAAAACCCTGAAAAACTGCCACTGCATTTAGTGTTACTATGGCAAGATTCCTGACAAAACTAATCATGGTGCCATCTGGTCTGACAAACTAAGAGAGCCAAAGAGTAGCCATTCAAGTAACAACTCTTCACCTCACCAGTAAATTCACTGCAGACTACTACAGTTGAAACTCAGACCCAGTTAATCTGGGACTCAAGCCACATTCTTGTAATGTGCATATTGAGTACAGTCTGTTCTTCTTAATCTAGTAAATTATCTTCTATAAACAAGTTTGTTCTGAGACGACTGAATACAATCACGGTGTTGCTGTTACTTCTAACTCAGGTATTTCACACACCTCTGTGACAACATGGAGTGGTCACTTTAGGACTTTCGCTAAAGCTGCTTCAGTATTGTATCCTTGCTTCAGAGGAACCAGATCATTCTGCTAAAGATTTTATAACAGGCAAATGACTTTCACCTCTTGATCCTGTATTCAAATTTACTTGAAACGGGTAATAATGAAAATCATTATCTTAGAAATGCACAGCAGTGTCACTGCCAAATAATATTTGATTCAAGTCTAATTTAAATAGGCTATAGTACAAGGGGAAGAAAAAAAAATCACACAAACCCCTTTCATTTGGCCTCCAAATTTGCCTTTGAGTTGAAAAAAAAAAAAAAAAAACCAACAACAAAAACACATTGTTTCTTCCTTCAACTACTCATGCCTTAGGGAAAATAAAAATATCAAAAGAGCTGATGAGTACTTTGCATATAACATCATTATCAGCAATATATTAAATAACACAATAGAAATAAAATTAGTAAAGCTTTTCAAATGAAGTAAAACATTGGAAATGGCAAGTTATACACCTACACTTGATCTGAGTTGCTTCCTTAGGACACACACTTGCCTTTAAGGAGTCACTTCAAGCATCTCTCTAATCACAGAGATGTAGTAACAACCTACACATTAAAGACCATAGTGGGGGTCAAAGATACTTATTTTAGGGATAAGTACCAAGAAATGTCATTGATTTAAAACAACTACTATTGAAAATTATTCATAAAATTAGAAGTTTTTTTTTTTTTTTTTAGGCAAGGTTTCTCTGTGTAATAGTCGTGGCTGTCCTGGAACTTGCTTTGTAGACCTGGCTGGCCTCAAACTCACAGAGATCCACTAGGATTAAAAGTGTGTGCCTCACCGGCGTTGGTGGTGCACACCTTTAATCCCAGCACTCAGGAGACAGAGGTAGGCAGATCTCTGTGAGTTCGAGGCCAGCCTGGTCTCTAGAGCGAGTGCCAGGATAGGCTCCAAAGCTACACAGAGAAACCCTGTCTCGAAAAACAAACAAACAAACAAACAAAAATGTGTGCCTCTGCCACTCAGCAAAATTAGAGTATTTTTTAAACTCGCTATTTTTCCTGGTAGTAATATCATATTGCTTTTGCAAATAAGGCACCTAATGTCAGCTTTTATTCTTGTATCCTAATTACCTGCTGAGATACACTTGGCTAATGAAAAAGCCACTCAAACTCAAACTGTGTTTGTTCTCTGAAAAATGAGCCATCCGCTTTCTAACTCTCAAGCATTAATTAGTTCAGTAAGTAAGTTCATTCACTGATTAATTCTTTTCTTTATAGAGCTCCTTATGGCTGGGAGAAAACAGAGGACCCTCACTCTTCTAAATTTTCAGATAACATTGTGATTTCTGACATAAATTTTCCTGGCAGCAACACCTAAGATTAAAATCCTCTCTGTGGCATCCAGAAAGTAACTCTAGTAGCCTGAACAATGTAGCAATCTGATAAAGGGAAAGAAAGCTCAGAAGTGAAGGTGACCACTAACAGCACCTGTGTGGTGTTTCCATTTGTCATATACAGTTCTTATGTGTTTATACAACTGCATTAGGAAAAAACCTTCCACTACTTGAAAGAACACTATACTTTCTAAACCTCTTTATAAGAGAACACATCTTTAATCATATACCTCAAAATTTTGGATTAAGGCGTTTTGGAAGAACACACTGGTAGTGATGGAAGAGACCACAGAAGTTCAGTCACCCAGAATTCATGTACTATCTTCCTCTTTAAAGAATGCAGTAGCAAGGATAGCCTCTCTAACCACTAGTCCTCCATATTATTTTTCTACTTCCTTTACTATCTTCTTCTTACTCTTCCTTGCTCTATCTTCCTTTCTCTTCTTTCCTTGAGATGGGTTTTTCTATATTGCTAGGTTCATCTTGAACCCCTGAACTCAAGTAATCTCCTTCCTCACCCTCTGAAGTCCTGGGAATAGGCACACGCCACCACTCTGGCCTCCTCTCTTATGTTCTATATTGAGAAATCTCAATCTAACTTCTAGAAAGCTCAAAGTCAGTGCAGAAAGTGCTCCTTCCTCTAGTTAAAATAACCAGAAAAATCAGGTGCCAAAAACATAAGGTGCCAAATTTAGTATTCCCTTGAGCTGTAGGAAAAAGAAAACATCTGGGAAACTACTGACTCAAATAACAAACTTACTCAACATAGTATGTTCCATACTGAGGATCCTCAATTTTCTCCCAGCCATAAGGAAGCTCTGTAAATAAAGAAAAGAATTAATCAGTGAGTGAATTTACTTATTAAATTAATGCTTGAGAGTTAGAAAGCTGAGGGTTCATTTCTTGGAGAACAAAATAGATTTTGTTTGAGTGGCTTCTTCATTAGCCAAGTGTATCAAATACTAGAACAAAAGCTCATCTTTGCTGTGTGTGGTGGTGCAAGCCTTTAGTTCTAGCACTCAAGAGACAGAGTCAGGGAGATTTCTGTATGTTTGAGGCCAGCCTGGTCTACATAGTAAGTTCTAGACCAGCTGAGGCTATCTAATAGAACCCTGTCTTAAAACACACACACACACACACACACACACACAGAGAGAGAGAGAGAGAGAGAGAGAGAGAGAGAGAGACAGAGACAGAGAGACAGAGAGACAGAGAGACAGAGAGACAGAGAGACAGAGAGAGAGAGAAACCAATTAAAGAGAAGCCAACTCACAAAAACTAACATTAAAGGATGCAAAAATACTCAATAAAATACTGGCAAATCAAATTCAAGAACACATCAGAGAAATCATCCACCATAATCAAGTAGGCTTCATCCCAGGGATGCAAGGATGGTTCAACATATGAAAATCCATCAATGCAATCCACCATATAAACAGACTGAGGAAAAAAAAACAAAAAAAACAAAAACACATGATCATCTCACTAGATGCCAAAAAAGCCTTTGACAAAATTCAACATCCCTTCATGATAAAGGTCCTGGAGAAATCAGGGATAACAGGAACATACCTCAACATAATAAAAGCAATATACAGCAAGCCAACAGCCAACATCAAATTATTAATGGAGAGAAACTCAATGCAATTCCTCTAAAATCAGGTACAAGACAAGGCTATCCACTCTCTCCATACCTCTTCAATATTGTCCTTGAAGTTCTAGCTAGAGCAATAAGACAACAAAAGGAGATTAAGGAGATACAAATTGGAAAGGAAGAAGTCAAACTTTTCACTATTTGCAGATGAAATGATAGTCTACATAAGTGACCCGGAAAACTCTACCAGGGAACTCCTACAGCTGATAAACACATTCAGCAAAGTGGC